CCATACAAGATCGTGCGCAAGATCTCCTTGACAGGTTCTCTGTAGAAGCTGCTGTGCAAGATCTCCGCGAAGGTCGACTGTACAAGGTGTCTACAGGAGATCTCCACGGAAAAATCTTTGTAAGGGATCTCAAAATAAGATCGCTGATCAAGCTAGCTATCAACGATCTCCGAGCAAGACTTTACTTTCCTCACCGAGCCTCTGTACAAGAACTCTATAAGAGATTTCATGGTAAGATCTCTGTGCAAGATCTCTATAAGAGGTCTCTTGGCAAGATCTCTGTACAAGCTCTCTATACGAGCTCTCCTGGCAAGACCTCTGGAAGATGCCTCTTGGCGATCTCTGCACAAGGTGTCTCTAAGAGCCCTCTATACAAGATCTCTACAGGATGTCTCCGTGGCAAGATCTCTTCGCAAGCTCCTAGAAATTGACAGGGAAGATGCCGGCCGTAAGAACCCCAGGTGTGGCACACTGTTTGGGGAACGATGTGAGCGGCGCCTTCAACCGGCTCTCTGGGATCCACGACTCACAGTCTGGTTGACGGTGAACACCTCCAAGCATGGGCCGGCAGATCACCGAAAAATCTTGAGGATTCAGTCAACCTCCTAAAAGCTGACAATCCCAACTAGATCCAAATAGTAGATGATTATTACCCTCTACTATGGGTTGTTGGTGAATACTTCGTCATTTAAAAACTTTTTGGTTTGGGGGGGGCACCTTTGAGCCTTGCAGAGGAAGGGCAACTACTCGGGTCTTAAACCTTATCAATTCCATGCTATTCGCCAACAGAAACCAAGTGTCAAAAAAATATATGTTACCTATTAGGACTCCCACTCATTAGACAATGATCCCCGAATACTTGAGTAACAAACCCCGTCTTGTTGGCCGCATTAAAACTATATGCCCCATCTATATCCATCAGTACCCATCAACTCAATCCATTCGAAACAGTCAAGGAACAGGGTGCACAACTTAAAGTGCAACCTAGGCGCTTCGGGAAAGTAGATATTTTCCATCTAACGCAATCCCATAGACAAAAAGGCGATGTGTGCTGCCATTGCTGTCCTCATAATCCACCGCAGCACCGAGCCCATATTTGACAGGCATGGCTAACAAGTAGCGCAGCGTGACCGAGCTTGAAACTGAAAGGGCTGTGCAACAGTCACAACCCAATAGACTGGCTAAGACAAAAATTTGTCTAATCCCTATTCTGTAGAAATCTGACTATTAGGTAGACTTTTTTTTTCTAAGATAACTTTTTTTTGTCCAAGACAAATTTTGAAAATTTGTCTTAGACAAAAAAAAGTTGTCTTAGACAAAAAATATTTGTCTTAGACAGTTTTTTTTGTCTTAGCCAAATTGAAACTACATCAGTTTTTTCAAACTGCCTCAAAACTGCCTCAAAACTGCCTCAAAACTGCCTCCAAAACTGCCTCCAAACTACCTTATCATTTTTCTATCATTTGGTGGAGGGTGTGCAAAAAGTATCAAAGAGTAAGAGAAATAGTGAGGCAGTTTCCCCAAAAATCCCCAAAAAAGTGAGGAAGTTTCCCTTTAAAACATGAGGTAGTTTGAAGGCAGTTTCACAAAACACACGAGGAAATTTCAAGGAAATTTCCTCGAAACTTCCTCACGGAGGATTGGCAAAAAATCTGCCTTAGACAACTTTATTTGTCTAAGACTGGTGTCTTAGACAAATTTGTCGAGCAAAAATTTGTCTAAGACAAATTTTTAAAATTTGTCTATTAGACAAATTTAAAAATCTGAGGCTATTAGACAAATTATTGGGAACAATTCAAGATGCAGAGACGCTGCCACAGTCTTAAAGGCACGAGGGCCAGTCTTAAGGCACGAGGGCCGGTCTTAAGCCACGAGGGCCGGTCTTGAGGCACGAGGGCCAGTCTTAAGGCACGAGGGCCAGTCTTAAGGCACGAGGGCCAGTCTTAAGGCACGAGGGCCAGTCTTGAGGCACGAGGGCCCGTCTTAAGGCACGAGGGCCAGTCTTAAGGCACGAGGGCCAGTCTTAAGGCACGATGGCCAGTCTCAAGGCACGAGGGCCAGTCTTGAGGCACGAGGGCCAGTCTTAAGGCACGAGGCCAGTCTTAAGGCACGAGGGCCAGTCTTTAAGGCACGAGGGCCAGTCTTAAGGCACGAGGGCCAGTCTTGAGGCACGAGGGCCAGTCTTGAAGCACGAGGGCCAGTCTTGAGGCACGAGGGCCAGTCTTGAGGCACGAGGGCCAGTCTTGAGGCACGAGGGCCAGTCTTGAGGCACGAGGGCCAGTCTTAAGGCACGAGGGCCAGTCTTAAGGCACGAGGGCCAGTCTTAAGGCACGAGGGCCAGTCTTAAGGCACGAGGGCCAGTCTTAAGGCACGAGGGCCAGTCTTGAGGCACGAGGGCCAGTCTTGAGGCACGAGGGCCAGTTTTGAGGCACGAGGGCCAGTCGGACAAGGTCAGGGGTCAGAAAAACCAGGGGTCAAAAAAACAGGTGCCCAGGGGTCAAAAAAACAGGCAGGGGTCAAAAAAACAGGGTCAGGGGTCAAAAAAACATTGGGCCCGCCTTAAGGCACGAGAAAAATCAAAAAAATCAAAAAATTCAAAAAATTCAAAAAAAAATGAAAGTCCCAAAAAGAAAGAAATGGAATTCAAAAAATTCAAAAAATTCAAAAAAAATTATGTATTCATTTTTTTTTTGAATTTTTTGAATTCCATTTCTTTCTTTTTGGGACTTTCATTTTTTTTTTGAATTTTTTGAATTTTTTGAATTCAAAAAATTCAAAAAAATATGCATTCACTTTTTTTTTGAATTTTTTGAATTTTTTGAATTCAAAAAATTCAAAAAAAATTATGTATTCACCTATTTTTTGAATTTTTTTAATTTTTTGAATTCAAAAAATTAAAAAAAAAATGTATTCACTTTTTTTTGGAATTTTTTGAATTTTTTGAATTCAAAAAATTCAAAAAATTCAAAAAATTCAAAAAATTCAAAAAAAAATGAAAGTCCCAAAAAGAAAGAAATGGAATTCAAAAAATTCAAAAAATTCAAAAAAAATTATGTATTCATTTTTTTTTGAATTTTTTGAATTCCATTTCTTTCTTTTTGGGACTTTCATTTTTTTTTGAATTTTTTGAATTTTTTGAATTCAAAAAATTCAAAAAAAATATGTATTCACTTTTTTTTTTGAATTTTTTGAATTTTTTGAATTCAAAAAATTCAAAAAAAATTATGTATTCACTTTTTTTTTGAATTTTTTGAATTTTTTGAATACAAAAAATTCAAAAAATTCAAAAAAAAATGAAAGTCCCAAAAAGAAAGAAATGGAATTCAAAAAATTCAAAAAATTCAAAAAAATAAAAAAAAATGTATTCATTTTTTTTTTGAATTTTTTGAATTTTTTGAATTCCATTTCTTTCTTTTTGGTATATAGATTAACTAGTAGGGATTCTCCAGAAAGAGGTATAATTTCAATAAAATCCTTTCGACATGCAAACGTTCAAATAGTACATAAAGGTCCATCGTACATATATATATATACGTATATATACATACATAATATATATATATATATACATACATAATATATATGCATATATATTTACATACACATATAGACACACACACACATATATGAAGATATACATACCTACATACCTATTACATACCTACATACCTACATACATACATACCTACATACCTACATGCCTACATACCTACATGCCTACATACCTACATACCTACATACCTACATACCTACATACCTACGTACCTACGTACCTACATACCTACATACCTACATACCTACATACCTACATACGTACAAACGTACAAACGTACATACGTACATACGTACATACGTACATTTGTACATACGTACATACGTACATACGTACATACGTACATACGTACATACGTACACACGTACAGACATACATACATACAGACAGACAGACAGACATACATACATAGATACATACATAGATACATACATAGATACATACATAGATACATACATAGATACATACATAGATACATACATAGATACATACATAGATACATACATAGATACATACATAGATACATACATAGATACATACATAGATACATAGATACATACATAGATACATACATAGATACATACATAGATACATACATAGATACATACATACATACATACACACATACACACATACACACATAAATATATATATGTGTACATATGTATATACATTATATATATACATATATGACATATATATATATATACATACATGTATATATATATACACACACATATATATATATATATATCAACATGCAACAGTGTTATACTGTGTTCAGTAATGTGCTCTTTTGGCACCTGCGATTGGCCCATTGGACATCCCCTTCAGGACAAGACAGTGGAAAGCCGAATAAGATTTCTGCTCCAGGCTCGTGGAATGCCAAAGGTGAGGGAGTAGCTAATCTATGTCAACACATGTCCTTCACAATCTGCTCAAAATGCTCAAACTCATCATGCACATGCCCTTTCTCACAGCTTCGTCTGAAGACCCAATGGCTATTGAACATAATTGGTATGACCGCGATGGAGCTCACGGGTTTCCATGGCACAGCAGAGCCTTTTCGGTCATATTTTTGTTTGATTTGTTTGGCCATCTTGATGCACCCTTCGACCTTCGAGCTCGAACTTGTTAGAAGCGCTTTAAAGTCGTTCCTTACAGTCTCAGATAGTTCAAAGAAGATGCTTGAGGAGTCAATGGTACGTGCTTTCCATCCCATATAATGTGCATATGTACATACATAATAGACACGACACGGCATGTTTGCAAGTAAGTTTATAAGTTCACACAATTTTCCGCTTGAAACTTGAAGCTTCAACTCCAACTGCTTCCGAAACTGCATCTGTGTCCAGCACAGGCTTGAAGTGCTTTGTTTGTGCCGTTACCACATGTTACTACAATGTTGTGAGCCACCCATGACCTCGACCTCAACTCTGGGCTTTTGGCGGTGTCTTGCTCCGTTCGGTTGCCATGGGCCTTGGATATCTGCTCCCCTTGGCTCTGCTGGTGGCTTCACAAGCCAGCTTCAATGACGACGAGTGCGATTCACTGGATGGCAGAGATGAAGACTGTGCTCTGCATGTGTTGCAAAAGGCCACGAGGCTCAGAAAAATTGAGCCTTTTGAAGGTCAGAGGCCAAGTTACGTCTCAGCTGGAACAATTCAGCAAGGATTCTGTTGATTTTTTGACAGGCAATGCAGGGGTAGGTATGCATATAAGTTTGGTGCCAGAAGCTACTGAGTTGATGGCCACAAAAAGATTGTCTCAATTTTGATTCGTACTTCGTGGCTCTTTGTGGTCGATGTGGTCGCTCTCAGGTCCTGTAAGACTCGGTCGTGAGGCCGATGTAGATGCCGCACCTGCCGTGACTGATTGGCTGGGAAGCCAGGAGAGCAGCAAGACCCAACAGATTCCATCAAAGAAGAAGAGTCGAGATGCAAGAGGAATAGAAAGAACATGTCTGAAACCTGTGTTTGTCAGCGCTTTCACACGTTGGATGCAATAAATGCAAACTAGATATCGAGAGTAACCAGATCTCTATGCTAGTGATAGGTTGACCCAACTCCAATGATCACACATGACTAAAAGAAGAGAATAAAAGAAAGCGGAGAGGTGAAAGAGAAAAGGCAGAGCAGGGAAACTGGATGAGTGGGTTTCTGCAAGAGTTTGGATGCGCTGGTTATAGGAGCAGATGTTGGGATCTGATGCAGAGCCTCTGCCAGGGTCTGAGAATGGGAGGAAAGGCACACCAGAGTTCATGTATGTTCATCTTGCAAAGGGGAAAAGAAACTAAGAGCATAGCTTGGTCGTGAGGGGTCTATGGCGTGCTATGCAGCATACTTTTGTTCCTTTTGTTGGAAAAGTGCCAACAAGCGCATGGTGCAGATTGATTATCTAGACTCTAGACTTTGTATTCTGGTCGCTTCGCGACGACAACCGCCCGCACCGGAGTGTTAGCTCCGAAGTTCCAATAAAACCATAGCCATATACAGTATGTTCTGTGTTGGGCCTTTGTAGGGCTCATGTTGGGGATATATTGGGCACATGTTGGCTCTATGTTGGGCCGTGTTGGGCCCATGTTGGGCCATCTTGGGCCTAAGTGCGCCATGTTGGGCCCAACATTTTGGGCCATGTTGAGCCCAAGTTTGGCAACTTAGCGGATTTTAATGGATTTTAGATCCCTTTAAAAAACGTGGAAACACACAGGATTCTAGAGCAATAAAGGCCCCCCAAGCTAAAAGCTTAATATATAGCTATTGCAATTGCTTCCGGTCAATGCGTGCACACAAAAAACGCCTTGGCACCTTCGGTGCGGGCGGATTTGATAAACATCCAGTGGCTTGCAAACTGCCCATGCAACGCAAGAAGTGATCAGCGGGGGGTCTCCCAGTCTCGCAGCTCCAATTTTCTTGGTTGGAAGTTTTGGCCCTTCTTACTTTGGCGCTAGCCATGCCGCAGAGACCAGGTTGGGAGCCTCCGCTGAAATCAGCTACTCCCCGCCCAGTGCCTGAGCTGGAAGATAAAGACTCACACAATACATTACATGACCAAAACTTAGACACCCAGATTCGACAAAGATGCATTGGCTTCCCCAAAGAAACAAGATGAAACAAGTATCACCGAGGTGGGGAGGCACTTTGAATATCTAGCTTAGATGATTAGCCTGATTAGCCTATGAAGACACTGATGAATGCAATGTGTTGTTGACAGTCACGACGTTCTGTTACATTGTTTTAATTTCGAGGTTCGCCCACAAGCGATTTGAAGGTGCTCAAGAAAGGCAGCGGGACGTAGACGCAACCTATGGATTTGCTTGATTTTCAATCGTGGATGCCCTATGCCGCACTATGCCTATGGCGACGATTGCTCTACAGAGATATAATCTTAAATTGACAGGTTTGCTCCAGATGTTTCCAGCATCGCTACTGTCACTGCTTGGCGTTTCATCTCATTCTTTGGAATCATTGAAATCAGTTGAACACTGTATGAACCATCAGCTGCCGTGCGTCTCCTTCAGGTAATGGCCTTGCTCCACCAAGCGTGGTGCTTGGGGCGAAGCTGCGAATTGGAGTGATCGATTCTGTAGACTCAAGAACTATCAAGAACTATCAAGAACTACTGTATAAGAAACTATCGTGGAGAACTACTGTATTTGGATGATTTTTGATGTATTCGTATGGTCACCTGGAAGGCAAAGCAACACAATACAACGGAGTGGCTTGGCCCGAGATGGTCTTCCCTGGCACAGGCGCTGCAATAAAAACATCAATGACACATCAATGAAACAGAACACAGAAGTGGATTGGTCAATTTGCAGGTGAGATGCATGTTTTCACCATCGGCGATTCTGGTCTGCACTTCCAACATGTCATGTGTGGTTAGTACCTACTGTGCCTAGTAGATTCTCATCTCATCTACTTCCTCACTTAAGGGGCTGCAGGCAGAAACTCTGTGTTTTTGTTTAAGGAATCATGACAAGAACCACAAAACTTGATCTTACAAAAGTGGTTCTCAATGCCATGCCACCAAGGACTGGGGCTCTCGGCTCAGACACACGTGAACCATGGATGTTGCCATGTCATGTCATTGACTGATGTTAACATTTTCAGCAAAAGCATGAAGTCGCATGAAATGAAAGCAGGATCATCTTCACTTTTCAGAGGTGGACTGCTCTGGGAGCAATATGGTGATGGTGGCACCGGCTTGCACGTTTTCCCCTTTATCAGGCAGATCTTGTGTCATTATCCAAAAAAGCATGTTCCGTGTGGCACAAGATGTGCACCCTATGGGATGTAAGGCCATCATGCAGCATCAACGACATGAAGCAGTGCTTCAATGAGACTGGCGATGCAAGCGGCCCTTGCAATGAGGTGCCAAAGCTTGGTCGCAGCTTCGGTTGATTTGAGTCCGTAACAGTAACATCCGGGAAGATGCAACACTATCATGAACATATATATATAGTAGGAATTAATAGGGGATGTGTATGTATATGTAATTTAATATGATACAATCATACATATAAATAAATAAATAAACAAATATATATATATGTACAGTATTAGGTAGTCTAATAGCCAGAATGACAGAGACAGAATGGACTACAATGCATGGAACGCACTGCGGCTTTGCATCGTGGCCATCACATCCCTACCCGATGAGGCCTGTGGCTATGTGCCTGGGGTCGACAACCAGGCTCAAGTGGTCGTTGCGGAGCAGATGAAGCAACGCGCTGCAAAGACCGCTCGATGTTTTTCTTGACGTTTAGCATGAAAGAGATAGGAAGAGAAAGTGGCCAGAGATAAGCTTGGATCCTTTGAATGGCTTCCCTTTCCATGCCTGCAAGAAGTGACTTTTGTTGTCTTCACATATTTGCACAAGTCACTCCTCCATTTTGGTGACCTTGCAGGACTGGAGTTCAATACTTCCTGAACGTGGGTGACAACTTCTACCCGCAGGTGTTGCGATTCTGGCATACACATTTAGTGTAGTTGCAGAGGCTGATTTTGAAAACCACTGCAGCTACGTGCCATAGATTCGGTGTGCGGTATGCGGAAAATTTGAGACCGAACCGGCAGTTGTCGTTTTCAATACCCTTTTCCAATTTTATCATATGGATTTTATGAATTTCACAAAGTTTTGAGGTACCCAGGTACCCAAACAATGACTTCAGAGTCAGAGGACATGACTTGACAGCCGCGCTCCAGGGGATGAACACTGGATGTGGCAGCCCCATGGACCAAATCAAGGAGGCCACCAAGGTGCAATTCACCAAGGCGGAAAACGCAGATTTCAACACGAGTGCAAAACTGAGAAAACATGTAGAAAACATGTAGAAAACATGTAGAAAACATGTAGAAAACATGTAGAAAACATGTAGAAAACATGTAGACCAGTACAATATGGAAAGCTATGGAACAGGTGCAGTATGGAAACTGAAGAAAGTGCAAGCACTGAGAGGCCTTCAACTGGGTCTATTCTGGACCTTTGAATGGAAAAGTTTGGTTGTCGGTCCTTGGCAACCACGATTATGGTGCTGAACTTGGATTTTGTTGAGGCTCAAGAGATCTGAGACGAAAGATCAAAGGGCTGTGTGGGCCATGCAGCCTTTTTTCGATTTGATAAGAGAAGGGCCTGACTACAGTCTGTGACAGTTGTCTCGAGAGGTCTTGAGTCATGGTTTGAAGTTTTCAAGAATGACATGGATCCAGAGTCATGTTTCTGCATGGTTTGATAAATGTGTTCAAGTGCAAAGTACGGTAAGATGTTTGATGTGCTGAAATATCTGAAATGTGTTGACAGTCAGTTGACAGTTGACATGTGTTGAAATCTGTTGAAATGTGAGTCGTTCATTGAACTTCCTCAGGTGCTCGGCAGTTCAACTATGCCTGGGACCAGCAGGTGGCCTTCACCTGGGCCAGTGACGCTGGGATCCGTCCAGACGTAGCTCTTTTCAGCCTTTGTAAGGGTGTCACATGGTGTCACATGGTGTCACATCGCAGCGCACGAGGGATGACAAGGTGTAGGACATCTTAAACACTTTAATTAAATGTGTCCTCCTCTATAGATAGCAAATACACATTTGCACAGTATGAACAAATGCTATATAGACAGATTTGTATAGATGTGAATAGAAAAAATCGAATTGCACAATATCGAGAGAATCCTAATCGAGAATAGTGACATGCTTTTTGCTCCAGAGTGATGATGCAGGGAAAGCCACCTGGAGCACTGCATGATCCTAGGATCGGTGGGTTATGCCAGCCCTCTACTTCAGTCAGCACGTTCGATATCCAGCCATCCCCCCAGTCTTTTGCCGAAGAGGTGGAAAGGACAGCATATATCACAGCATGCAACTTCAAAATGGTCAATCAGTCAATCGGAACATGACAGAACACTGAATGCATCTTTGTGGAGACTATGCAGCCAATGTCTTCAAAGAGTGTCCATTCATGTCCATTATATGTCCATTCACGCATCTTCCAATTAGTCCATGGAGTACTGAGGATTTGGGATTTGATGTAGACATCTTCATGCTGGATTCAAACGCCTGCCTCTTAGCATTTGTTGGCCTTGTGGATTGTCATCGTCCGAGTGCAGGTTTGCAGATCGAACATGATCTAACCATAGCTTGGGCGAGAGTCTAAAGGAGATTGCAGCAGACTCTTTGACTTTGACTGTATCACCATTCGTTTCATATTAATTTCATCTAATTTCCATATCTACGCTGAACACTTGATGATTGGTTACTGATTGGGACACTGGCTCGTTTTCACCGAAGGTGATGGATGCCCATGGTCTTGATGACCGGCCAGGCTCCAACCTTTGTCATCGAAGATTCAATGCTCAGGACCCGTTGGGCCCGAATCGGGCATGGGAAGTCACGAAGGACAAGATAGGACAAGAGACTGTCAGCCATAGGGCCATATATTATGTGAATTCTATGTATATATATATAATCATTCTTTTATTTGCAGATATAGATGATATAGCTTTTCCCTTTGCAGTTTGGCTGACCACCCTGTGGAACGGGCAATCTGATTCCGCGGCCGAGCTGGCGCTCCTAGTGCAATTTGGTTTCTAGAGATGCCCATGACACGATCGCTGGTGATTTTGCAACCTTGTGCACGCCATCATCTGTCAAAACTCAATTGTCATCTTCTGCCACCCAGCAACAAGTGGTATTAAGGTTGATGAATTGGAAGTGACTAAGTCTGGGTTCAAGCATCGGCCTTCTTGATTTTTGCTAAGTGCAAATGTGTCGCCTCATGAAGCATACCTCTCTTGTTGCACCTACGGGTATGCTTCTCGCTTCTCCAACTCCGTAATCAGATTGGAGTGGAATTCGCAGTTTCCAAAAATCTCGTTGACTTCAAAACAAAGCTGTCTTCATGTATGTTTTCACATCTCCAGGCCGACTGTTCAGCTACTGGGGGGCCGCCCTCGGTCGAAGAATGCGCGGCCTGGTTTGGAGATCTTTGGGGAAGGCCTGGATTCCTTGCGAGTGTGTGTGATCCCACTGTAGCATATTACATTCATGAGTGGGAGGCAGTTGCACATTGGGTCTTGCTGTTGAACATTTTTGTCAAAGATACATAAAGATATCATGATATGGAAAGCTGGGGAGAAAAGGAGTTTGGTCAGGAAGTTTTTCTGGCAAAAGAGTCAAGTTCTAGCTTCTGCTGGGAGCTCCCATGTAGGGTGCTCCGCGCAGTACAGCCAGGCAAGCCACCTGGATGGAGGAGTGCTTGGCTCTTGATGGCTCTTGAGTCTTTTTTTCGCATGGCTGGCAATTTCCATCTCATCGAGTCGAGTGAAGAACAGACTCAGTACTGATTCTCAAGCTTGATTTGCAAACTAGCAAGCGCTCTGTCAAACTGCGTAGAACCTACGTATACTGTATTGCAAGCTGCTACTGCAAAGGAGAAACTTAACGCTTCCACAGCCAGCTGGCAGGCAGTGCTCTGCGAATAAAGATGAACCTTTGAAACGGACATCAAAACCAAGACCAGTAGGGCAGGATGCAGTGAACTGTTATGAACTGTTGCGACACCGCCTTGACGTTTCTTGCTCAGATTGCTGTCACCCACTTCCCTTGTGGTCACAAGGCTGGAAGAGATGCTTCCACCAGTATTTTTTTAAAACAAATTCTTGAACTGCACAAACCAGCGAACAAGGGGTTCGAATTGGTGTCAAATATAAACGCGATCTCATCAGTTCTGAAGTCCCCGAGATCTTTTGTCATAACATGAATGCAGAAACTTGCCTCAGGAGTCCATGCATTGACGTGCTATCTACAGTAACATACATGTTTTGTTTTGTTTTGTTTTATGTTTTTTCAGCTTGTTCCCTCGAGAATTGAAGTAGAAGGTCATGCATTTGTGTTTGCGTTTCTTTGCGGTCGTTGGGTGGATTTTTCCCGAATGCGTAGCAAGGGTTCCCGTTTCACTCTGGGGGTCTGGGGGTTGAGGGTGTGTTCTCTCGACGTTGCGTTTATGTCCGCAACCGTTCGCAACCGTTCGCAACCATTCGCGTGAGGGCCGTATGGCCGTGCCTATGGTAAGTTCTGCAAAAGGGGTCACTTTTGGATGTTTCCAGCGTTGCGTAGCTGCGTTTCGCGTGGCAAGCGTGGCACTTAGTGACATTCAGACGTGTTTTGTAACGTGTCGAAAGTCGTTTTGTGTGGCAGGCGCAATACTTTTGCATCGTTTTCAGAAGGTGAGTTCCAGTTCTCGTGGCAGGCGCAGCACTTTGGATTTTGCGTGGCAGGTTTAGACGTGTCTTGTGGCGTCAAGTGGTGACAAGGTGCAAATTCCGTGGCAGGCGTGGCATTTTGTGAGATGTGCTGAAAATTGATGGAAGCCTTGCACGAAACATCGATTTTGAGGTAGCAAATTTGGAGGTTCGCAGAAAACTCAGGAAAACGTCGATTTTGAAGCTACAAAGTATGAAAATTGAGGAAGTCTCGCACGAAATGCTCTTTTTGGTGCTCCCACGTGTCTCGTCTCGAGTCTCTGGTTTTCCTGTGGCCTCGCCGTGTCTATTGGGGAAGCTGCAAAACCTTTCCTTTTCGAAGCTTTCCAAGCAGGTTGTCATGTCGTTTTGCGTGGCAGGCGTGACGCTTTGTGACATTCTAACCTGTTTGACGCGTCGAAAGTCGTTTTGTGTGTGCCAAGCGCAATACTGTTGCGTCGTTTTCACAAGATGAGTTGCAGTTTTCGTGGCAGGCGCAGCACTTTGGCGACATCTATCGTCATTTTGCATGGCAGGCGCAGCACTTCAGACGTGTCGCATTGCGTGCTTTACACGCCACGCTCCGAACTCTACACTCACTCCACCCTTTACACTTCACACTCCACACTTTACATTCCACACTTTACACTCTACACTGTAAACTACGCTTTGCACTCCACACTCTACACTCCACACTCTACACTCCAAACTCCACACTTCACACTCCACACTCAAAACTCTACACTCCACACTCCACACTCCACACTTTACACTTTACACTCCACACTTCACATTCCACACTCCACACTCTACACTATACACTCCACACTCGACACTTTACACTCCACACTCCACACTCTACACTTTACACTCTACACTTTACACTCCATACTTTACTCTTGACACTTTACACTCCACACTCTACACTCCACACTACACACGACACTCCCCACTTTACACTTTACACTCCACACTTTACACTTTACACTCCGCACTCCACACATTGCACTCCACATTCACCCTCCACACTTCGCACTCTACACTTTACACTCCGCACTCCACACTTGACACTTTACACTCCACACTTTACACTCCACACTTTACACTTCAGACTCCACACTCTACACTTTACACTCCGCACTCCACACTTTACACTTTACACCCCACACTTTACAATGTACACTCCACACTTTACACTCAATACTTTACACTTTACACTCCTCACTCCACACTGCACACTTTACACTCCACATAGTACACTCCACACTTTACACTTTACACTTCGCACTCCGCACTTTACACTCCACACTGTGCACTCTACACTTTGCACTCTACACTTTACACTTTACACTCTATACACTCTACACAACACACTCTACACTCCACACTTTACACTCCACACTTTACACTCCAGGCTCTACTCTTGACACTTCACACTCCACACGCTACACTCCACACTCTACACACGACACTCCCCACTTTACGCTTTACACTCCACACTTTACACTTTACACTCCGCACTCCACACATTACACTCCACATTCACCCTCCACACTTCGCACTCTACACTTTGCACTCCGCACTCCACACTTGACACTTTACACTCCACACTTTACACTCCACACTTTACACTTCAGACTCCACACTCTACACTTTACACTCCGGACTCCACACTTTACACTTTACACCCCACACTTTACAATGTACACTCCACACTCAACACTCCACACTTTACACTCAATACTTTACACTCAATACTTTACACTTTTACACTCCTCACTCCTCACTCCACACTCCACACTTTACACTCCACACTTTACACTCCACACTCCACACTTTACACTCCACACTCTACACTCCACACTCTACACTCCACACTCCACACTCTACACTTTACACTCCACACTTTACACTTTACACTCCGCACTTTACATTCCACACTCTACACTTTACACTTTACACTCCACACTCTGCACTACACTTTATACTTTACACTCCACACTTCACACTTTACACGTTGCACTTCACACTCTATACGTTTGACTCCACACACTACATTCTCTCACGTCTATGATGTTTCCCTATCTACGCGTTTCGGAATCCGTACCATTATCATACGTGTGAGCATTCGGGTTCGTGGGCTGCATCTTGTTTTTTAAACGATATTCCATAGCCTCACTAATAATATTTTTATTTGGCTTCCAAACATGTTCTTGCAATTTGTGTTGCGCAAAAATCATCGCTCATCTATCAGGACATGGTTTTGAGATGAATATAATCTCACCCAGATCTCACTTTCCATACGGGGGTTTACATTTTCTTGCTTGTGTAATCTTTTGGCAGTGAGGTTTCACACAGTTGGGGCGTTGCTCCTTGAACTACCTTTGATATTTCTTTGCGCTTCTATTTGCCCTCCCCGCATAACAAGCTGCATTCTATTGGGTGTGGCAATGATTTGAGAGCAGCATTGTTGGAAGAACATGGACTACTGTAGATGTATCATTCATGATGTAACTAAATGCATCTAAACAGTTGTGCCGTTGCCAAGCGTATCTTGGTCGCCAGCTCCCTTGGTACTCCAAGCTGCGTTCCAACGGGTTGGACCTTCTCGTCACCGGACATATCCACGAGCAGCTTGAGCCCGAGCTGTGTTTGGGGCTCCTCTGGTGGCGGTTCACCCAGAATGAGGACCTGCCATCGACTCATGGAGTCATAGACCACACCATAGCCATAGCATGGCCACAAGGCAACTTCAGTTCCTGCCTGGGCAACTGTTTGAACCTCAGATTTCGATTTTCATCGCCGATCGTTGCTTTGTGTGGTGGCTCCAGATATTCGACGCGCGTGAGTCCTCCTGTGACTAGTGACTAATTGTTGATGTGAGATGATGACATTTTGGTTTGATGCTAGGCCGCTAGGCATTGCGATATTTTACGATATTTTACATTTGGACATTCTTTGGGGAAGCTTCACAGTCCCTCCTGGGCGGCAGGACCTGCCTGGTCACGGGAGGAGGTGGCGGAATCACATCTGAAAGGTGCCGTGCCCTGGTGCGATTTGACGTGCCGTAGTCGAATCGATTCGAATCGGAAGTTGGAAGTGCTTGGAAGGAGCCCACAAGGGGATGACAGCCGAGAGTATGGTCAGCTCCTGAGAGTGGCTATGTGGCTATGCCGCACCCTTGCCAGATTCAACCAAAGTCTTTTTCATGTTGACCAGTCATCACGTCGTATCTAAAAATCTAATCAACCAATTCTTTCTTCTTTGACACCGTTGTCAGATTCACTGTGGTTTGTTTGCTTCCAGACGACTCTTGTTGAACATATAATATGTATGATATATATATATCTCTATATTATACAAATTATAGTATATTTATATATGTAAATAAATATAAATATAAATATAAATCTATCTATCTATCTATCTGTCTATCTATCTATCTATCTATCTATCTATTTATCTATCTATCTATCTACCTATCTACCTATCTATCTATCTATCTATCTATCTATCTATCTATCTATCTATCTATCTATCTATCTATCTATCTATAATATTTAAGTATTACCGAAGGAAGTTTAGAAGTCAAACTTCCGACAATATGGACACATGAAAAGCAGAGGTGGGAAGAGTCAGAGAAGAGAAGAGAAGAGAAGAAAGAAGATCAAAAAAGAGAAAGTCTCAGAAGAAAGAAGATCCAGGTGAGCGCAAAGGTAGGAAAGTCGCGAAACACTGTGTTTTTCCATATTTTTCCAATGACTTGTGGCTCCGGAGGGTTGAAAAGTAGGGCTCGCTAAAGCGGCGGGTGCGGAGCCAGCTGGCCAGATGAGAGATGAAAAATTGCACGCCGTTGTGGCGCGAAGCACGACATGTCGAAGTCAAAATGTAGAAAGCACACCAGCTCCGGACCACTTTTGGAAGCTCAGATGTCGAAAAAGTGCACGCCGTTGTGACGCGAAGCACATTCCGAAGCCAAATGTAGAAAACACACCAGCTTCGGACCACTTTTGGAAGTTGAGATGTCGAAAAAGTGCACTTTTTGACGTTCAGATGTCGTTTCGCGTGGCAGGCGCACGGGATGGTGCATCTGGTCAAAAATGAGCAAAACGTGAGGGTTTTGTGGCATTTCCAAAAACGATGGCAGGCGTGGGACATTTGAAGAGGACCTGCAAAGATGCATGTCGCGTGCCACGCGCAGTACAAGAGACATGTTCATCAGAGATGTTGAGAGGGGTTGCATTTTGGAGCATCAGATCTTCAGGTTTGCTGAGGTGATTTTGCGTGACAGGTGCAGCACTTTGTATGACCCAGTATCACTTTTCGCGGCAGGCGCAGTAGTTTAGACAGGTGGAGTCAAAAAATGGCAAAACGCATTGGTACGAGGCTGTCAGCTCTGCACTCAACTTTCCATTTTTAAAGGAAGTCTCGCAGAATTGCTTCGTTTTTTGATGTTGTCAACTTAAAAATGAGGAAGTCTCGCAGAATTGCTTTGCTTTTGACGTTGTCAAATGCAAAAATTGAGGACGTCTCGCTGCATTGCTGCATTTTTGATGTTGTCAAGTTCAAAAGCTGAGGAAGTCTCGCAGAATAGCTTCGTTTTCAAGCTTGCAGACAGACAGACAGACAGACAGACAGACAGACAGACAGACAGACAGACAGACAGATAGATAGATAGATAGATAGATAGACAGATGAGAGAGAGAGAGAGAGAGAAAGAGAGATAGATAGATAGGTAATTAGATGAAAGGGAGAGAGAGAAAGACATAGATAGATAGATAGATAGATAGATAGATAGATAGATAGATAGATAGGTAGATAGATAGATAGATAGATACATAGATAGATAGGTAGGTTGGTAGGTAGGTAGGTAGGTAGGTAGGTAGATAGTCAGAGGAGACCTCAACCACCTTTCGGTCCATCAGCGGCTTCGCTCTGCCATCCGTGATTCACAACAACCAACCTCTCCTATAGGTTTCCTATTTCTGAAACTTCTGCCACTGCCTTGTGCGGTACTACGGGTAAATATGCATACTCATATTATATATTTCTATAATTATTAGATATCATTTGATTTTATTCAATCTGCAATCATATGAACCGATGCTTCACAATTTCCAGCTAAGGTTTCTTTGACCTGACGCTCTCGAAATCTACAATCAAGGTGGAATTGGTGAACCACCTTGGAAATGTGGTGTTGACACATTCCATCCCACCCTTTGCGGGCAAGCCACTACAAGGAGCCGGCGGGATGTGGAGGATTCCAGTCCAATCCTGCAAAATATTACATCCACATCATGTCCACATCCACATCCGTTGTCCAGCCAGGAGCGGTCGTGCCGGATGCCCCAAAAAGTGAGCCACAACCTGCCGCTGAGCAGAGAAGTGGAGTAGCGGCTGCCTGTAGCAGTACGAAACTCAGAGGTTTTCACTTCTTGGATGTGAGACGATGTGAGAGTGGAAGGATGTGGAAGGACTGAGGAAAAGACAATCTTTAATCACGAAAGCTAGCGTCAGCTAGCTGGAGTCTTCTTGCTTTAGCAAGTATTCCGGGGGCTGCTCAAGGACATCACGTGATTTTTCACGCGAAAGGGGGGGGACCCCCCCATCCACCACCATCCATCCACCCCCCACCACCACCACCACCAGCATCATCATCATCATCATCATCATCATCATCATTATCGTCATCATCGTCCTCGTCATCGTCATCGTCATCGTCATCGTCATCGTCATCGTCATCATCATCATCATCATCATCATCATCATCATCATCATCATCACCATCATCGTTATTCAATTACATTTTATCATTATTGGCAATTATTGGCATTATCACGAAAGCTAGCGTCAGCTCGCTAGAGTCTTCTTGCTTTAGCAAGTATTCCGGGGCTCCCCAAGGACATCACGTGCTTTTTCACGCGAAAGGGCCCCCCCCTGCCCCCTCCCCCATATATATCATTGTTATATATCATATATCATATATCATTGTTGCATCCTCGTTGGGACGAACAATGCCGCGACACGATGATGACAGTCCCTCCGCAACTCACCTCTTCCCTTCCTTCTTTCTCCTACCCCGCTAGCTTTCGTCATCCACCCCCGGCCTCAAGTGAAAATGAAGGCATGTGTAATGTGCAAAGGCCAGTGTGAAAGGGGACCCACCAGCAGGAACTGTTTTTGAAAGCAGTCGTTGTGACGAGTTTCCGTTTTAAGGAACCTTGAGCTAGATTGCGCGTCTACAAAGTTGTATCCTTCGGCTTTGGAGGGAATTGCGTCGCTTGGGTGCTGCCTTTGCTGCAGTGTCTGAGATTGAGGCAATCCTCAATGTGCTGGCTTGAACGGTGACTGCTGTCCAACACCTGGAGGAGATGGAAGCGCTGAGGGTCTCGTGGTATCTCATGGTCTTCTGAGCATGATCATGTTTTGCGAGATGTTCAGCATTGCTGACTTTCAAGAACCAGCAGGGCATAGTTGTCCATCCAAATTTTCTGATTCATTCTTTAATTCTTTGCCCCGTCATATTTGTTTGTAGAATTTGCAGTGAACTTGTGTCCAGATTGTTTGCCCAATGAGTCATGAGGGCAGCATGTGGTGGCCCTTCAAATCAAGGGCTAGTGTTTTTTTGATGCTTCTGAATCAGTTCGATAGGAACTATGTTGGGCTGCTGTTGGAAGCTGAGCGGACTGTACTTTGCAAGCATCAGGGCTCCCAAACAAAGGTCAACTCAACAAAAAGAGACGCACTTCTGCCCATATGCCATGCCTGCTGTCCGTTTCAGCATGTTTCAGCAGTGCAATGCGCTTTTGTGTGCTTGGAGTCGAGGTGAACAACCCTGATTTCCATGGATACTCTTGAGATCTTTTGAGCTTAGTTTTTGAGCTTAGTTGAGCTTTCTCGCTGGTGATAATGCATGTGGCTACGATCCAGTTCCATTTGATTCTGGAGAGATTCCCCTGTGCCAGTCCTAGTCAACTTAGTGACCCAGCTGACAAAGCGAATCACACGGATTCGCAGAAAAAAGGTGCTATCCAAGTGAGCGTCCTTGTCATGGCATTGAAATGGAATGGCCGTTTGCCATATTTTTCGATTAGATTTCCCTAATCTTTCAGGGAATCCAATGCAATGCTGGTGTAGCCGCAGCGAATCCAGCACAATGCAAGTGGGTGGCTTTAGAGTGTGTCGAACATTCCTTTGCAGTTTCCTGTTCCATTTTGAACCTCCTGGAAGGATGTCTTGGACCTGCGATCTTCTGGCTGGGAAGACAACAAAGTTGTCGTTGTCTCAGAGTCAGGACTTCGGACTGAGGTGTGGGCGTTTTGAAGTGGAAAGGGGTTGAAAGGGGCAGCAAACACGTCGTGCCGTTTGAGATGTTTGAGGCAACAAAAAAATTGGAGGCTCCGAGAAAGCTTGGTGAATTCGAGGGAAGAAGTATGGGACCTCAGCTGAGCTCTGCTGTGGGTTCCCTTCCTGCTCTTGGCGCTCTTGGAACCCTGTGACCTCGGGTCAGGAGTCAATTTTTGTCACGACCAAAACTCTGCATATTCAGTGTATAAGAGATTATCAGAGTATCAATCAGATTCAATGATAATACTGCATGCCATTATTGTGTCCTGACATGTTGAGAGAGCATTGCCACATATTGAAACCTCGGATCAATTCTAACCGTAGAATGTTTCATTATTCAGCACTCTGGCCAAGGTAACTAAACGATTGGGGGAGCCGACATTGGCTGCCCAACTTGTGATCCCAGATATTTTCCCACTGAAGATTTGCATGAATCGACAGTGCATGAAATCTTGCAGGCAAGCGCTGATGTTTTTTCCATGTCTTCATGTCTTCAGTAGATTGGTTGGAGGGCTGCATTTTGTTTTTTGTGTGTGATTGTTTTGCTGGTGGTTTGAGTAGTGCCTTTTTTGCGTCTGGCCAGCTTGCCGTTGATTTGCGGACCTTGGCGGTTCAGAGGGCAACAGCGTGTACAGAGGAGTTGTAGCCAACGGCTACACAGATAGTTCCCAAAGCTTTGGGGCATGAAGTAATCTTCAGATGAAGGTCATTTTGGCCTGGCCCCATCCCACAAATATGCAACACATCTGGTGTTTTTCACTGGCACTAAAGAATAGACATTGCCCATTGCTGTCATAGGAGAACAATGTAGGAAGTTGTTGCAATCTATTCTCTTTCATTCTCTTTAAGAATCTAGTGCAATAATTGCTTGTGTTGCTGTGCTTCTTTGGAGTGTAAGCCGCAGAATCAGTGTGCCATAGGAACTCCAACCAGCCTGCTTGGCGCACACGATCCCAAAGTTGGCACGAGCAGCAGTGCATGAGGATGGTCTTCATAGCCGCATAATGCCGTATAATGAGGATAATCATATGGAGAAATATTACTATTGACTATTGTATTTGTGTATGTATTGTCTAAAGATGTGCATCCCCTACCCCCTCAATCCTGTGCAAAACATCTTGTGGAATGTGCTGTTATGTAGCATTCCCAAAGCGAACATACCGTACCAGTGATGCTTCGCAGTCAGAACAAACGGGATGCAAAAACCTGTTGGAACTCAGGCTTGTAAGAGCCACTTGAATAGGCTCAGAGATTGTCATAGATTCTCATAATTCTTTGCGCTGCATTTTTGGCTGGAAGTAAACAGAGTCGTCTTTTGCAACTCAGGTGACTCCACTTGCTTGACACGACAGAAACCCAGTAAGATTCTCATTATTCTCATTGTTGCCTCCATGTTCCTTTTGCATGAAAAACATTGAAAAACAGCCAAGATGAAAGAAAAGCACGAGAGGAGAAAACACACTGTTTGCAATGTTCTTACTGATTACTTTTTTCCGCATGTCATGTGCGACGAAGACACTGCATACAGACAATACGTTGTGATGTAGATGTTGAATTGTTGCGGTCTCCCCATTTGACAGTCATTTTGTTCCGCTGCTTTGCACATCATTTTCCCTTGTTCATATCTCCAGGTGCCCAAAGAAGCATGAGGTCAATTCCATGAGCTTAGAAGGCTTAGATAGGTGGCATCCAAACATGGCTGTTGATGCGAGCTGCAGAATTCTCCATTCAGGCCGGAGGGCTTGAAGGTTCCAGGATGGCCTAGGCAAAGCTCGATGCTTTGACAGTGAGTATTCACCCCGCTTCGCGTGGGGTGGCCGCCCACACCGCAGGTTTATTTCGGTCCGTGAGAGGGGCTAAGGGTGGTTTTCCCCTGTGGGGGCTCCCCAAGCTAAGAATTTTCACTTTCCCCCCCCGTGGGGGCTCCCCAAGCTAGGGAATTTTCACTTTTCCCCCCCGTGGGGGCTCCCCAAGCTAGGGAATTTTCACTTTTCCCCCCCGTGGGGGCTCCCCAAGCTAGGGAATTTTCACTTTTCCCCCCCGTGGGGGCTTCCCAAGCTAGGGAATTTTCACTTTTCCCCGCCGTGACAGCTTCCCAAGCTATGGAATTTTCACTTTTCCCTCCCTTGGAGGCTCTCCAAGCTGCGGAATTTCAAATAGCTAGACAACGACGCCTAGATAGTCCCCCAAATCCCGTGTTCTTTGAATGTGTTTCCATGTTTTTGCAATGGTTTCCTTCAAAGCACGGTACTTTACACTTTTGTCGCCATAAAACCGGTCGAAAACATCATGTTCGACAATGCTTCCAATTCCCTTATCTCCCCAACCGTTGAAAATACCGCTATTTACAGTGTTTTCTTCAATTTTTCCATGTTCCAATGCCGGTAGCCAACTCCAACATATATATAAGAAATCCTTCCAAAACATTGTTTTTGACAGTGTTTTTCCAATGTTTCCAGTCAAACAGACGGTAATTTACACGTTTTTTGCCATAAAGGCAGTAAATCCTTCCAAAACATTGCTTTTGACAGTGTTTTTGTAATGTTTCCAGTCAAGCATACGGTAATTTACACGTTTTTTGCTATAACGTCAGTCCAAAACACTTGTTTTTGCAGTGTTTTCAATGCTCTGGCATCCAAAAACCCTGCAAAATCTTGCTATGTACAATGTTTTTTTCATTTTTGGCCGTTTTTCCATTGCCGGAAAGCTACCAAAATGACCCAAAATTCCATTTCAATACCCTCTTGCGCTCAGACACCCAAAAATCCTCGAAAAATGTCGAAAACACCACCGTATTCTGGTCTCGGTGCGAAACCGTTTTTGGCCCCCCCCCAGCTAAAGCTGATATAGCGACTGCTATATTAACAAATGTCATTGAGCATTTAGTGTTGCTGTTGCCCCCCAATAAGCACGCCTTCACCGCCAAAGCGGTGTGGGCGGATTTTGAGTGTCTCAGTCCGATGGTTGGTCTTCAAGTCTTAGTTGCAGTTTTGAAAGCGCGTTGCTGAATCAGACAGCGGAAGGAAGGGCTTGACTACAATCAACACTTAGCATCCCCAGGTCGCCTAGATGCAGCGAACATCTTTTGCAGGTACTGGGTACATTGACTGGGTACATTGCGGGCGCCCACGAGGAAAATTAACTGAAAACCGCCACTCGCCCCACTTGCCCCACTTGCTCCACTCGCCCTACTCGACCCACTCGACCCACTTGACCCACTTGCCGGGGTATGGATGGGTATGGGGGGTAAGCAGGGCAAGCAGGGCAAGCGGGGAAAGCGGAGCAAGCAGGGCAAGCAGGGCAAGCGGGGCAAGCAGGGCAAGCGGGGCAAACAGCATGAACCACCGATCATCCCTCGGTTTGCAAGTAGGGCAAGCGGCGGGGCAAGCGGCCGAAATCACTGATCGCCGCCACAAGCGAGGCAAGCGGGGCAAGCGCGGGGCAAGCGCGGGGCAAGCGCGGGGCAAGCGCGGGCAAGCGCGGGGCAAGCGCGGGGCAAGCGCGGGGCAAGCGGGGGGCAAGCGGGGGGCAAGCGGCAGAAATCACTTCACTGTGTACTGGTATGTACTTTGTGCATCTTTGTAGTACATGTAGATCTTTTTACATAATTGATAATAATTGTTGTGGTTTCAAAGTGCTCCTAAGTCCACCTGGGCACCGTGCCTGTTGGTATGTCATACTTTTTCTGCTTCAGGTGCAACTCTATGGGCACTGCGGATTCCTGTGCCACGAAGAACAGATTCATCTCGTGATCCTTGAGTTCTTTGGCTTCGATGGGGGAGATAGTACTGGGCCCTTCAGAGAGACTTGTGATGACCTTGTGATGTTTGGCCAATGAGCACCGTAGAATTGCACTGTGAACACTGAATAATTTGAACATCACTGCCGCCAATTTCTAAGTTGCGGCGATGTGTGCATGCTGCCCTTTTATGTGCACATTTTTTTCCTCAGTCTTGTCGTGATAAGAGCGGCGCTTCTTCATTTCATCACATTCCAGTTCTTGTATGGTGCTGTCAGAGTTGTGATACGTCCTCACCCGCACATACTGGAAAACCAGCTGCTTTCCACCGGGATTCTTTGCTGCATGTCTCTACACAGTTTGTTGTGATGAATCGCACAGCTTGCCCAAAAATCACCACCTTTGGGCTCCTGAGGGCTCTCTAGGGTGCGCCTTCGCATGATGGAAGGGGCAGAGGCCCGACTCCAGCGCTGGCATCCTTGGTCTAAATTTGAGGATACTTCACGGAATATCTTGCACGTCATGTTCTGTAGTCATTGTGAATTGGACACATTACATTGCCTTTACATGCTTTTACTGCACGTAGATTTTGTATGCTTTGTCACCGTCTCATGCTTCTCTGACAAAATTCCACGACAAAAAGAGCCTGCTGAGAGCCTGCTGAGAGATGCTGAGAGCATAGAGCAGTAGAGCTCGTGCAGCAGGTCTTGCAGCCTGGGCAAAGAGCTGCCAGACTCAGCTGGGTGGCTTCTAAAAACTGGCAACATGCGAAACATTTTGGACATGTTCATTGATTTTGGTGAAAACTAACGAAAATTTGAGTGAAGTAGCTTGCCTACTTTTGAAAGTCTTGCGCATAGAACAATCATGAACAACTCTCTACAGTAAGTGATGAACACACGCCGCTTTCAGGGAGGCGTACCTGAAAACTCATGATCCCTCACCACCCATTTGCTTCTTTGATCTTCAATATGTTGACTCAAGTAAGGTGGAGTACTTTAGCCAGACCTTCTCCCGGCCTCTCACTCAGTAGCCACTTCTTTGGCATGAGCTCGTCATTTTTCCATATTTTCCCAGGTCAATCTGCGAGACTGTCAGTGCAGATTTGGCCTAAATCCTTGATAAAGATTGATAAAGAGCAATGAGCTGGACTGTGAATGAATGTGATGTGACATGTTTTTATTTTCAGGTGGATGCCCGCACTGGTCTTGGGTTTCGACAGCAGCAGAGGCAGGGAATCATCAAGTTTGGAAAAGTTTGCAGTAGAGCAGTGCATCAAGTTGGAACGGAGTCTCACGGGTAATCCCTTCTAATCACATAAGTACCAAGACTATGCAAGAACCAGCAGCCAGAACTGCTCGTCTCGTGTCCAGCTGTGAGGTGTCTACCAACTGGATGTCCATCCGGCTGCTGATCCTGAAAAGGTGCAGATCCGGATCCTGCACCATGCTACACGAGTGACCTTGGGGCCTCGGGGCCTGGGTAGCCAGGTGCGGCCATTGGCCAATGCCACGGACGACTGCTTCAAAGGAGATCAGCTGATCACCTAACCTGGGGAATGGTTGGGACATGTTGGGACATGGGTTGGCTCCGGCAGTTGTCTAGTGGGCAAGGGTCTCGCTTGGGTCGCGGACTCGTGCATCGCTTCGGGCGCGAACTCATACATCGCCTCGGGCGCATTCCGTACGTAGCACGGCGCAACAACATATCATATAAACCCTAAAGGTGTCGTGGCCCTTCTTCAAGTGCAGGGTGGTTGAGGTGTGTGCCCAAAGTGATGCGTAGTCTTGTTCTCAAAGTGAGCGTCCAAAGTGTGAGGAGTGAGGCATCTTAGGTTGGTGCCCAAAGCGATGTGTCAACTGATGCCCAAAGTGATGCGGGTACCTGAAAGCTCTGTAATCTGTTGGATTGTAGGGTTGTCCTCAACAACACGCTCAAATATCCAAAAAGAGTTTGTACCATACTTGTTTGTCCTTACAGTGTGGGATCCATTTTTTTGGCATCTCTGTTCTGAGTGATTTTTGTTTTATTTGCTTCCCAGCCTCAGGAGCTCCAGTCTGGCAGAAAAGTCTGGATGATACAGTGCCGTGGCCAATCCAAACGACTATTTGAAACATCCTGAAACTTGCCTGACCATTTTTGCCCTGTCTGGCTGCACCTTCAGCCTGTCCGAGCTGTCCAAATTCAGAGGTGACACGCTTTGAGACAGGGGACCTGGTGGAGTATTTCAGGCGCAAAGAAATTGATGTCTTAGTTTGCTCGGCAGGCGCAAAATCAAGAGTTCAGCCTGCAAGAGAAACATCTATAATCTATGATCTAGTGCCATTCTTCAGCATACAAACCAGATCCACAGCAGACTAACGTGACAATCTCATGACTTGTTGTCATTTCTTGCCACAACAATTTTGCGACCTGAAACCAACTTGCTGCAGTGAGACAATCAAAATGATGCTTGCATTTCCAATTCTGTGCCATTTACATCCATTTATTACATCCATTTACAGTGGTTCAGCATGGTTCAGCCTTGGCAGCTGCTTGTTTGCAGTACCTCCTACAACCTCTGGATTCCCGCAGAAGTCCGGGGCTGGGACCGCCAGAGACATTGCTACATCCTCAACATCCAACCAGTGGCTGCTCCGCACAAGGCTTGACTTCGTGCTATATTTGTGGCATAAAAGATATTAAAAGATACCCAAAGTAGCTCCACCGGCTGCACCTACTAACAGTCCTACTAACAAGATGGAAAGGAGCAGTGCAACAAAGCCAGGGGCAAGAGCAGACAGTGCTAGCTTTTGTCTTGAATTTCCCCTACTATTACTAGACGATCTAGACGGGTTGGTACTAAACTCTTGTTGTCCTTAACCTTAACGCTCTGGATGAGATCGGAGAAATTACAGAAAATGCATGAACATGCATCAAAGCCTTGTGGCCAAAGCATGGTTGGCTGCTTTTTCACTACTTGTTGTTAGTTTTCAACTTCCAGAAGGCACATGATGCCAAATTTCAACTCGAATCCTGCTAGAAGATTCTTGCCCCCGCAATTGCAACATATTGCAACAATGATTTGCCAGAGCTCTCACAGAATCGTATAGAGTTCAAAACTGAAACACGCAATATCAGTATCACGCAATGCAGCGAACATTTTAGATCTGTCATCCTCTGACAAGATCTCACCGGCTCGAGTCGGATACTGACCCGAACGCCCCTGGGCCTCTGCGCAGCAGGTGCGAAGGAGAGCCACAGCCACGACGACCGCAGGGAAAGACACGGCCGTATGTCTAGAAGTGGCAGAGGCGAGCGGAAGCGACCCTTGTTCAATGATTGTGTTTGGCAGTTTCACCCAAGCTGTTGTACACGAAGTGTTAGTCCCTGTCTGTGGACTCTTGGCAAATCCGAACTTCTGGAATTCGTGAAGCTGACGGCTTTGCAACCCTCAAGCATGGCATCCATCCAGGGGCTGTTGCCATCTGTTGCCTCAAGTCTTTATCTGATGCCACTGTTTCTTCGGCTCAAGCAATTTGTGCAAAATCCGGGATGCTTTTGCAGAAAGAGAACAACCCTTAAGAGCCTGGAAACTTGAACATCAACCCGAATTGGATGATGTTGCATCTGCTTTTTTTTGACAGACAAGAGTCATGCCCAAAGCGTCACATGATTTCCGTGCTGCCGTCCACAGTTTTTCTGCTCTCATACTTCTTCAGACCGTTTTCCGAGCAATGCAGAAACACCGGCTTTTGCAGGTTTGTATTGTACCATTTGTACCGCCTCCCTTCTCACATCTTCTCACTACAGACTGACTGGAGTCATGACTTCTGATGAGTTGGAGGCTCAGGAGATCTCAGGAGACTCTTGTGATTGGATGTGATTGGGACATCTCAGAGTATGGTGTTTCTGCCAATCTGAAATATGGGAAGAAAAGACATGATAGCATCGCTGCATCACTTATTATATTCTGTTGTCTGAGTCTACACAGAACTCCATCAATCTATCCGCCGATTCTCAATTCCAACAAAAGTTTCGGAATGTCACCTGCATCACTGGTCAAAATTGGACGTGTTGTCTCTGCTGCTGTATTGGCCCGAACACCGAAGCGGTTTCGTGGAGTCACAGCAAGGAACGTTTGGATTTGCAAACAGAGGAACTTTGGAGACCATGTCTATGTTCAAGCGCTTCGTTGAGCCTGGCCGTTTGGCACTGATCACCTACGGACCTTGCACCGTGCTCCCGGCAGTTTGGGGACAAAGGGATAACCTGAGGCAAGCAATTTCCATCAATTTCGTCTAAATTCTAAATGTTTGTTCTCTGATTGCTTAAAAAAGTGGAAAAAAAGTGGAATTCTGTTTGCTTAAAAAAGTGGAATTCTGATTGCTTTCTTTACCAAAACATGCAAGAATATGGAATCGATGTATATAAAAGGGACAAGTGCCCTTGGGAAACGGAATCCAAAAATGGCAGGGGAAGCTTTGCACCATCACTGACATTGTGGACCAGAAGCGCGTCGCCTCAAGCTCAGAGCTATGCATCCAGTGTTCATTTGGATTGATTTCTTGGCAGTGCAGGGTCCTTTCGTTTCCTTTTGTATCATTTCTTTTGTGTTTTCTGTTCAGTGTTTGTATTGTTTTGTATATTATAAATTATAATCCTTTAGATTACTTTCGTATCATGCAGATTTGATGAGGTCGTGGACGGACCAGAGGTGCCAAGTGTGGTGATGTGGATTCAATTGCTGCGTGGCTTGCATGACTTGCAATATCACAAGGGGAACTAGACTGAACTAGAGATATTATATGATATTATGAGAACAGCTCAACTTCTCAGTCTCCTGACGTTTTGAGAACACCTCAGCCATTTGGAATAGATCTGGTCCAGAGCCTCACACATCTCACACCAGGAGCTCACCGGTGTGCGACGACACATGATGCCCATCAAGCGCTTGAGCCTCACCGACTTCAGGCAAGGTGGGTCGCCAAGGGATCTTCACTGTGACCAGTGCAGGATCAATCCAAAACCATGGCTGAGAAGCAACCTTGTTTATCCCTTTTTTGTATCCCATGATGGGATCTGATAGGAATAGTAAGGAGCTTTGGCATGACATTGGATTGTCTCCACGTTTCATCACATTTCTATCTCAGGTGGGTTGAGAGAGCGCTGGTTTCCACCATTTTCAGTTGGAACTTTTTTGTGCCAGGTTTGCTGCAAAGAGAGGTATCCGTGAGAAGGAGCCCTGGGGAAACTGTGGCGGGTTTGAAGAGTAGCCACCGGCAGCTAGAAGATATGATGTCATACTGTAGCTTAGCGGCAGAAGGTGCAGAAATCCTCTGCACTTGCGTTGTACTCATACTCTACTTGTCAACGGATTTGGCGTTGTTTTGTTGGCTTGTGATGTTCGGTCTTCCCATCGCCCCATTGCCTCAGCATGTCTACGGATCTAATTTGACGAATCTTGAATTCATAGGGGGCCACACGCATTCAGCACAGTCACTACATCTGGATTTTCAGTTCCAGGGAGCTTTGCTTTCCACTGCGCATGGATAATTTATGACTATTTATGAGACTTACCCTGCCGACTGATACTGCCTGCAATGGCCTGTATTTTTGAGGGACTCTTCTGATTGGTCCATGCCCTTGCCACTTTTTGTCATCCCCTTGTTCTTCCAAAGGCCATCCCGCCATTCAGACCTTGTGGTTGACTTGAAGGATGACTTGAAGGATATTTTTTGATGTCCCGATATGTCCCGTGTGTATCTGTGTGTATCTCTGGTGCCAAGAGGTGCTCAAGAAGAAGCTGGCAGAAAGTGAGAACATCGACAAGTTCTGGGCGAGCTCTTGGGGCAAGAAGCTGAAGACACAGGTCTGCCTGGCCTGGCCAAGCATCCGGTGTTAGAGTTGTGTATGTTGCGTGCAAACCAGTAACTGTCAGTATGAAAGGAAGGGAACATATGGGAAGATAAGGGAAGTGAAGAGCCCACAACTGCTTGAGTGAAATGACTTATCGACCAACACCTAAACATGCCCATGCGTTTCATCTCAAGCACTGTGTATAAGGATGTTGATGATCAAAACTGAGACGCAGAGACCCCAGTTCCTAGATGAGGCCACGAGTGAGTGGTTTATTATGATACGGATATGGATATGGAATGATATGGATATGGTTTGTTGTGGCTTGTTCGGTTTGGAGATTTCGCCATGATTTCGGTTGGGATAGGCTCTTTTTTTTTCCATAAATTTTCCTTGGGACTGTGCAGGAGGCCCGCAAGGGCATGACTGACTTCGAGCGCTTCAAGGTCAAGTGCGCCAAGCAGAAGCGAGCTAAGGCCCGCGAGGGAAATTGGAGAAAGGATGGCCTACGATGAGTCATCAGTGACATGGGTTGTTGATGATTGTTGTCTTTTGATGGGCGCAGCACACGATATAATCATGCAGCAAGCTCGATAATGTTTGTGTAATGTGCCGAAGCTGCAACAAAGTCCAGCCAACCATCTAGTGGGGGAAGGGAAACGGTCCTCATGAATAGATGAGGCTTCATGATCAGAAGTCCTCGACAATACCATCCATGACTTCAGCCTTGACAACTGAGGAAGTGAAGAAGGCTCTGAAAAAGTGAGCTGACTGTATGGACCACCTGTAGCTCTCAAAAAGCAGCGCATGGCTGTTTTACATCCGTGATTGTGACGCCCACCTAGCCAAAACGGTGCGCAACGACAGCTTGCCGACCATGTGTTCATTTGTTTGCCCATTGGGCTTGGAAAGAAGAAGGGCATTGAATGGACATTGAATGAATTATCCATTGCTTTCCCCACCTTTAACCATCTTTCACCGAAACTTTCACTTCTTTGAGCATCGGCCTGAGGTGCCAGAATGGTGATGGAGCGGATGGAGGGGCTCCTTCTCAGTCGTCCAGGACTCTTCCAGGGCTGGGGATGTAATATCGTTTCAAGATATTTCAATCCTTTTCACACCGTTTATAGTTTATACTAATACATGTTTATATATACAGGCGTTTATACATAAATTTATCCTAGATCCTTTCAGATCCTTTCAGCATTTGAATTCACCAGAGCCGCGAAAAAAACGGCATCTGGTTTTGCAGTTCCATTGTTCAAAAGCATGGGGTGGAAACCCTCGGGGTGCACCCTCAATCAACCAGCAGTCCTGTGCATTTCATGATATTTCGATGCTGTTGACAATCGCATCAGGAGAGAAGGCCTGTCCTCACAGGAAGTGCAGCTTTCCACTGGTAGCCAGGTGCCGGTGTCATGGCGATGTGATGCACTGGTGGGGTTGAAGGTGGGAGCAGCATGGCGCAAGTCCTTGAAAGTACGATGTTGCGGACTTTGGGACTTCAATTTGTCTCACAAACCACCCCATATTTGTTTCCGGACAAGATGACATGTCAATAAAGGAATATGAAGGATAATCAAAGCAATTAGTGACCCCATGCTAGTCGTGGCTGCGGCTACTGGTAGTTAACAAGCAACCGCTGCACCTGGACTGCTTGACATGATGCGGTGTGATGCGGTGTAACTGCGCTCACAAGGAGATTTGGCTTGCAGCAAGAATTTGGAGCAGAGTTTGCTGCCACTGCTTTCGACTTTGCATTCCTGTCACAGTACCGCATCCATACTTAATTATTACATATGCACATTATGCACCTGAATATCCTGGAATGGAGTTCAACTGCAGCTGAGCAATCAATAGTCAGCCAAAATGGGCAATTTTGCAAAGAACTTACTACTTTCAGATACTTTTATAATTTTTTATAGATCTTTATCGTAATTTTGTGTAATTTTCATTTAGACTGTCGGAAATCACTGACTCGTCTGACTGGGCCAGGTTGATAGCCCTTGTTCGAACGATGGGCGAGAGAACATTCAAGGCCGGGACACAATGCCACAGAAGATTGCAGAAGGATACAGAGGGCAGACCAGTTTGATGGAGTTCGCGTGGCAACCTGGTGAGTGTCAACAATTCCCATACAACGACGAGGCTGACAACGTCAGCATGAAGAGAATGAAAACGGAAAACCACTGGATCAAGGTGACTACTGACTCACTGAAAAAAATAACCAACCTAGAATGAGGCCCACGCACCAATTATGTAGCGTCGAAGTCCGTCTCCATCTCATACACAAAGCACCCTATCCCGGAAAGAGCATGCTGAAGTGAACACTGTCCAGTGCATGACTCCACGAGCTAAGCTAAGCCCAAATCACCACACTGGCAAAGCTATATTTTCACCGTGCTCTGTCATTCCACTTTGCGGAACTATGAAACAGCCGCATCCCGTAGAAAAAGTGCTTTCAAGTCGCACGAGCAGACAGACAAATTGTATTTGGTTTGAAGTGAGTGAACCTGTACTGGGGTGCAGGGCAAGTCTTGATTTCCATCCATGGTGCCCACTTCTAATGAGCTGCTGCATTGTGTGGTTGTTACAGTTCCCTTGTCGCTCCAGGTTGCACCACGGCTATCCGCGCCAGCATGCAGCAAGTCCTGGACAGTTGGTGGACATCTCGCGCTTGTCGACGGGAGATGGAGGAGTCACGAGCTGACAGCTGGTGTTTTTTTGGCATCTATGAGATTTTGTATTATAAATTATACACCAATTGTTCGCACCATTTTGGAAGGCACAAGGTTGTTGTGACCACATCGTTTGCTACTGTAATAGTACCACATATATAGTACCACATAGTACCACATAGTACCACATAGTACCACATAGTACCACATAGTACCACATGGCACCACTTTTGGCGCACTTTGGCACAGCACACCTGTATGTTTCAAGTGTGTGTTGAAGAGGAAGCTTTGGAACGGCTTTCATCCCTAGAGAGTGCCGTTCAGCAACTGTTAAGGCCCAGAGATACTGGATCCAGTGGGCAACGGTGGGAAATCATGGGACATCTATGGCAAGAGCATGCAAAAGCATTTGATTGCTGATGTCACATTTGATAGGTAGAACATGGTAGAACTTCTGACTGCCAAATCTCACTCTCATCCCATATGGCGCTTCTAATTTGCCTTGCCATGTTTCCATTCTAACAGTCCTGGTGAGCAAGGCCCAGCGTGCCAGACGAGAAAAGCAGCTTGGAGGATGTGACATCGTTTACAGCTGCCTTTGCGAACTCAGTGGGAACTTGCACTTGCTCAATGCAAAAAGATGCAAACAGTATCTGCTAGTGGCTCACCATACTTGCTGTCCAATGCCTCGGTTTGGAAAATAATCGTGCCAATTTTTTCAAACTAATGTGACATGCAACCCTAGGAGAATGAAGGAGAAAACCAGTGACCCGCAGAGTTCGAAATATACCAGGGCTTACCAGGGATATACATTGGATATACCAGGGCACTGGAGTGACAGGGCAAATCGAATTCCTGTCGCGTGGAGCTCAGTGATGCCCCAGTGTGTAGGAGCTACGCGAAGAACTTCAGGCGCTGGGACCGCAGAGTCGGTGCACTGAGAGCCGGTCTCTAGATATGAATTGCATTGAATTGCAGGATCATATAGCATCACAATGAGCGAGCTTTAGATAGCTTTAAATGTTATTTAATATCCTTTACAGTAATATGTATCTTTTAATATGCCGTGTTGAATTGTAATGATCGTATTACTTTTGCTTTTGGCTTTTAGCTTGCTTCTTGGCTTCCCTTCAAGCTCCACTTCTGCTACTGCCCAGCCAAAGGTTCCAGCCCTTGTGAATGACAGCTTATCACAGCCTGCAGGAACCGCAGGTATTTGCATGCAAACCATTGTGTAAGTGAGTACAGATCCAGCATGTTTTTGACACCCGGTGACAAGTTCCGTCAAGAACAAAGCCACTTGGACATTTGCAAGGCTTCGGACTATTGTCAGACGGCAAGTGGGCAAAGTGGACCCCGTAGCACTTTGATTCATGTTGTTCTGTGAAGTTAGTCACCCCTTCGGCAGGTTGGAAAGACCAAGTCTGTGTCGTTATCTCGGCGATGGCTAGTTGAAACTTTTATAGAGGCGAGTGTGAATGCTGTCGTTTGAAAAGGCTGTGGCATCAGCTGGTATCATTGTTATGTTCTGCAAAGCAACTGGTCAGCTCGATCACAGTCGGTTGTTTTGCCCCCATTCAAAGATCCCCCAACCGTGATGTTTGATCATAGCTGAGCAGCACAGCTGGAGGCAAATCCGGAAAGTGCTGTACCGCATTCGCGCAGAAGCAGCGTGTCAGAAGCTGTTTCGGCCATGTCAGGGACAGTCTCATCTGGGTCAGAGCCTCAAATCTTATGTCAATGGAAAAGCTTGCAGCAACTTGCAGATTATTTTTCAATAGTTCTTGAACACGGCCTTTGGTACATTGCAGTGTCTTTGACCTTTTTCAGGAGGCTGGCTGATGAGGACACAGCACTGGGAGGGCGCTGAGTGGCAACAAGTTTGGCATCATTGATCATCGACAGTGATATAAATTGATATAAGGGATTATCGCATCACAAAAGCTGCAGTGCCACATCTCACACTTTGTTTCTCTAAAAACATCACATGCTGTCGAGAATCACAGCCAGAATGTCATTTCATACTTCCCAGAGACGTTTAGTCAGAAAATGTCAGAAATGCTGCCTGTGACCTTGGATCATTTGGATCCTTGGAAGATCTTGGAAGATCTTGGAAGGACGCTTCCCTTTCAGTTGAAGCAAGGCTGACGAACGTCGACACTGAGGCGCCCACTGATCTTCTATTGCATTTTGTTTGTAGAGATTTGTACGGGCCAAATCCGAACTCATCTTATGTAACACTTTGAAAAAAATCGTTCGTTGACAGTCTCAACTCATTACATGGGGCCAGATGAACCAAATGCAATAAACAAACTTGTCTCTTTTTACGGGATTTTGAGGGTCCGCCCCTGAAGGCTGCGCACTTGTTTGAGCACATCGGAATGTTGGATTTCGACGCTGTGGCTTACGCCCAACTACCCGGAATGAAGGGACACCTTTTGCAGGCGCACTGCTGCCTGGTTCGAACCCTGGCACTTGGAACAATCATTTAATGTGACTATTCGTTTTGACATAGATCACACGTCATGACAGACGATCCTTGAATTTTGATGAACTCTGGCTCTTTTGCAGATGGGCCATCAACCCCATGGCCCTGTGCTCATTGGTGCTCGTTGATGCAGGGACTTTTCAAGGCTGCGGTGAAGCAGCAGAGTCTTCTGGAGAAGGTGGAGCAGCAAGGAAACCTGGCCCATTCCGAGGCGTGCCATGCTGATGGCTGTCGACCTGGCAGATCCTGGAATGGAACGGGTAGAAATTCAAGGTGGGATAACTTAAGATATTTAAGATCTAAGCAGGAAAGCTACGGCTAAAATTTGAGGATATTGAGGATCGAGAGAGCATCTGCTCTTTTCCGGGCTCGACATGGTTTATCACGCGCTACTCGTGGCCTTCAAAATCTCTTTTTCAAACATTGGTCACGGGCTGCAGGTACAAGTCTGTTTGACTTTTCTCACCCTTCTACAGTAGCATGCGTACGTAGCATTGTCACAATGTCTCTTTGGCTGGTATGAAACGTTTGGCAGAGGCAGATTTCAACAAAGCGCTCTTCGCCTTCTTGGGCAAAATGGAAGAGATGCGACCTGGCAAGGGAAGACTCACCTATACCAAAACGTCCGTGGTTTGGAATCATTATGTTATGTTACCGGTACCTTAGTTGGACATTTGGTTCAGAATGTTCCGCTGCACCCATCCAGCCACAACTTGTTTGTAGGACATGTTTGAAATGACCTTCCTTTGTTTGGAAATCCACATGCATCTCACCTGTGCCATGATCAAAACTAGCGAATCGGGGTTCAAGCAAATCCAGACAACGGTTCGAGACGTGTGGGCTGGTGCCGCACCATTGACTTAGTACTACAGCAACCGGGCACCATCCTCAAACTTTGTGCAAATGTGGCCTTGAACACTTCCCTGCTCTTTGCTCCACACCATCGAGGTATTCACCTCTGCTACCTTACCATACAGCAATCCATGCTGCAGATGTGATGATGACAATGGAGACCTGTTTTAGCTGCTGGGGGTGCAGGGTTTGACACCCTTACGGTCCCTTACTGATGTTCCATAATTGTTGACCTTTTCTGACTACAGCGTAGATGTACAGTACACAATCATACAGGCACACACCCACACACACGCACACAGCAAATCGAGTAGTCCTCAGACATAGACCTTTTTGATCCACTGACATCACAAGGAACTCACTGACTCCTTTGCATGTTTCTTGTCCCAGCCGACATGGACGTTGGAACTTTTAGTTGAATTTTATTTTAAAGTTTGAAACATTTTAAGACCAAGTCCAGAGGAATCGCGATTTAAGAAACAAGGTCCTCAAGGCAACCAGGCACATAGAGGTACCAATCAACGGACATTTCACCACCCCATGGCCCATGCTTGTATATGATTGTATACGTGCAAGTTGGCATTCTCCTGCTTGAGACACAGACACCATGGAAATTATATATTCAAGATTACCAAGGGTTACCAAGGGCAGCTGTGGACACCGGGGGTTGTGTGAAACCTTGACAATGGAACCACAACGGATTGCACCTGCCCGGGAGGAGTGGTTCCTTCGTGCACCGGCGCTGGCTGAACAGGCGGAGATCACAGTGGCCACGCTGCGGAGTTTGGAAGTTGGATCAAGAGAATAAATATCATCCAAGGTATACATATTACGATCGCAATATATGTCTGTACACTATAATATGTTGGATCAATATCAATAGCTTGTTGAAAATTATCTGTGAGATTGTCGCACACCAGGCAATAGATCTAATGGGCATACGTTTTAACTAGGATGCTTGTGTTGGGAAGAATCCTGGAATTCAAGTAAATCTTCATGATAACATGCTGAATCAAATCCGCAAAGGTGCAGATTGCCTTTCAGCAGGAATTACCGTATATACAGTAATATACAGTATATATATATATATAATTTATCATACCATATCAACAGTACCCTGAAGAGGATCGTCCAGGAGACTCTTGTCAAATATGCTGTATTTGGATTATTTTGTGCAGCTCTTGATGATCTTGATGAGGTTTTGTGTTTTCTTGCTTTTAGTGGTAGAAGTGAAGACTCAGACACCCTAAGATACCCTTTCCGGCGGCTGTTCCACAAGCTTGACTTTTTCTGGGGAGGTCTCAGATCTTGACCACGTCATGGTTGAGAGCTCAGAGAGTCGTAGAGAATCAGCATGGGATAGTCCTACCAATCCTACCAGGTTGCCAATGTGTTCATGTGTTGTTGACCATGTTGACCTGAAATCTGTAGGAAGTCGGATGATCCTGATACAAGGCTCAAATGTCCCCAGTCCTGTCGATCTTCTGTCATGTATTCTGCCCCTTGTTGGATAGGAGGACAGCCTGGAACTACATGCAATTCCTTATCACTGTCTTGAGGTTCTCATCTCCTGCGCAATCCATGATGTTGGTCACCCGGGGAGGCCATGAAAGCTTTTCACCACTGCAACTCAATCCCATCCGCAGTCTTGTCGAAAGACCTGAGCAATCCATACTCTGAGATTGCCTAGAGAAGAACACGCAATCCACTTCATAGGTGCAGCTTTTTTGGTTATCAGGTAGTGCGCTGAAACTTGCCAGGAACAACTTGTTCCACACCAAGACAATGAGCCCATTGGCCGTTACCTACAATGACAAGAGCGTTCTAGAGAACATGCACGTGGCATCAGCCTTCCAAGCCATGGTCAAGGAGACACTGGGATATCTGGGATATCTGGGATATCTGGGATGGTTGAGTTGGGTTTCTCCTGAAAGCTGGTTGTGTTGTTTCGTGTCAGCGAATTCACGTTGACGCATTTCCATCTGTAAAGATCTTAAAGCCAGATGAAATCCACGACAGACAAATGCCGCATGCTCCCGGATGAACACAGAGACACGTGCGCACACACACACACACCGAGAAGTAAGATGAAACACAAACTGTTGGACATGGGCAAGATAAACAATTATGATTGAACTATGGAAGGTGCGCTTCAATCGCTTAAAGCTAGGCATAGACATAAGCATAAAGTCGAGGACACAAGGATCTACTGGCACATAAGATACGCCCGGATTCCGAATGCCTACTTTCCGGTCAAATCAAAATCTGTCTGGGTGAGGGATCGATGGTGGGCCCCCGCTTGAGGCTAGGAATCATCCCTTCCTACCAGGACGCACGGTACAATTGGCTCTCCCAATTGCGGAGTAACTTTCTTCCAGATGGTGCTCAGAAATCTGTGAATCTGCAGCAATATGTTCGGAGGCACGATCTCTACCCAATCAGATCCAACCAGACAGTGGCAACAGATCATGACATCATGAAAGTCTTTGAAGATTTTGAAGGGACTTGTTTCAATCTTGTTTCACTAATTCCGCAGGGGAGTGATTGACATCGTCTTGTGCACGGATATGACCAAGCACAACCAGCACCAGAAGGCTCTCAACAACCGACTGGCCGTCAGCAACCAAGGGGCCGGCCTATTTGCCAATTTGCTTGTCATGTCATGATGCTAGTGCACCATAGTGCACCATAGTGCACCATAGTGCACCATAGTGCACGGGTCACTATTACCTCAGCTGACTTGGCATGCTCTTGAGTTTGACGACGTTTGACGAGTTTTGAGCTTGAGCGCTTGTCGTCATGTTTTGTTGGAAGATGCAGGCATGATTTCTATCCCACACTTGCTATTCCCATCCAGTGCCCGGGAAATTATATCTTTACATATCTTTACTATATTATATATCACTATATATTATACATTTATTATCATTATTATTGATATTATTATTATTACTATTATTATTATTGTTATTATTATTATTGATGTTATTATTATATATTATTATTTACTTGAAATTTCGAGCAAGTAGAGCCTATGCCTGTGCAGAGCCTTTCGTACAGCAATGTGTGAAAGTCATCAGGGCCGAAGTTTGCGACCAAGGCCAGGGACAATCCAAGTCAGACAGAGGCAGTGGCAGAAAACGGGCGAGCCTCCGGGTAGTATGCCCAGCATGCCCTAGTTAGGCAGAAGAGATAATGAAAAACAGAAGCTCCAGCTTGAGCTTTGAGAATGGGACAGGTACTGCAGGTGCATGCCCAGGTTGAAAATTGGTAAACTTAAACGGGTATCGATTACATAAAATTGATGTTCCCAATTACACTAACATGCGGATCGATGTTTTAGCGCTGCCAGGGAAGGATCAATATGGATCAATCTGGATCAATGATCATCAATGCCTATATGTCAATGCCTCCGATGGAGCTCCAGGCAGTGGGAGAAGCCCTTGAGTTGCTGGAAGCCGTTGTGCATGCTGCAGACATCTCCAATCCTTGTAAGCCATGAGCTCAAAGATCTGAAGGTGGGTGAACTTGTTGAATGGACTGCGTGCTGTTGCCTATACTTATCGTTGAATCTAGCGGGATTCAGACTGGTGGAAAACTCCTTGCAGCCTCCTCCATGGCATAGCTGGGTTTCAATTTGATCCATGTCTTTTGTAATTCACGATGTCCCGTGCCACAATCATGTTAACGTGCTGCTAAATCTTGTCAAAGCTCAAAGGGAAAACCGGATGAGCTATGGCTGAGGCCCAAAGCCATGATGCTCTACTGGACGCAAAGGGCTCTTTGGCGTGAGCAGTCGATGGTCTCGATGTTGTCTTCGTACCTTCTGCAATGTCATCGCTTTATGGCATTTCGATATGTAATGGTATGTATACATATTATATATATATATATGTATGTATAGATAGATAGATATATGGATGGATGGATGGATGGATAGATGGATAGATAGATAGATAGATAGATAGATAGATAGATGGATAGGTATAGATTAGATAGATAGATTAGATAGATAGATAGATAGATAGATAGATAGATAGATAGATAGATAGATAGATAGATAGATAGATAGATAGATCGATCGATAGATAGATAGATGGATAGATAGATAGATAGATAGATAGATAGATAGATAATATTGGATAGATAGATAAGATTGGATAGATAGATAAGATTAGATAGATGGATAGATAGATAGATTAAATTAGATTAGATTAGATAAGATAAGATAAGATTGGATAGATAGATAAGATTAGCTAGTTAGATAGATAGATAGACAGATAAGATAAGATAAGATCAGATTAGTTAGATTAATAGATAGATAGATAGCTAGATAGATTGACAGATAGATAGATAGACTGACACATAGATAGATCGATAGATACATAGATCGATGGATGGATGGATAGATGGACGGATGGATGGATGGATGGATGGATAGAGAGGGAGAGAGAGAGAAAGAGAGAGAAAGAAATAAAAATATAGTTAGAGATAGAAAGAGATAGAGATAGATAGAGATAGATAGAGATAGATAGAGATAGATAGAGATAGATAGGGGTAGATAGACAGATAGATAGACAGATATATATATATATAGACAGATAGATAGATAGATCGATAGATAGATACATAATTAATAGTTGCTCCTGAGTGTTTGTCCAGTCCAGTGTTTAATTTGGGACACCTAGCACAGCCTGGCCGAAGACCCATTGAATCATCCAGCAATGATGTAGTGCAAATATATATACTTAGTTTATGTTTGTCTTGTGATCAAACTTACTGCCACTCTCAAAAACCATTTGGATCATGCTACTGCACATGGTTTTGTTCAGATGGTTCCCTTGGAAATACAGCCAGTTCGCTGCAGAAGCTGCTCTCAGGTCGTTGATGAGTTCTGGGCGCAAGGCGACGAAGAGATGCGCTTGAATATTGAGGCAAAGACCTGGAGAAGTTCAAAGCGGAAGGGTATGCCATAGATGCTATAATAATCTATAATCTATATGATAGGGCAAACAAGGTGCATGAAAGCTGACAGGATAGCTGCTTGAATTCAGGATGCCATTTAGCTTCCATTGAGCTTTCCAGTCTGCAGCTTGCCAGCTCAGGGGGCTGTGAGCAGAAAGAATCTGGACTGTAAAATCAAAAAATGACATCACAGCCAGGTCAGCCCAATGTGCAGTCGGGCGGCTGGAGAAAACTCCATTCCCAAGCAGCAACTAGGCGCTGCCAAAACCATGGCTGTCCCCCTGCGCACAATGAGATGGAAATGATTTCCGATACATCATGTTCGATTCCCTGTGAATGTCCAGACTATCTCCAGTTTAAGGTAAGAATCCTGATCTTTGTGTCTTGCTGCGTAAGCATACAGGGTATAGATTTGTTGTAGTCTAGATCGCGTTGGATTTTGTATGTTTTGTGAGATGCAGCTCTGCTTGTTTGTTTGCTGTTAACAACCAAGCACAGATGTCGAAGGCTTCATTGATTTCGTCATCGCTCCCTACTACACTCCTCTTGCTCAACTACTGCCAGAGGCGCAAGCTGCAGAGCATGATCCGGTCATATCCGATCTACTACTGGGTCCCGGGGTTAAGTCGTTGCATTGCTGTTTTGTCGTACGCTGATCCGTCTGCCTTGCAGAACTGCATGTTCTAAAGCATGTTTATGATAGTATATGTTGAACAGATTCTGATGTTTTGTGCTTGGATCAGCGCGTGCCTTGCGGTGCTTTTCTTTGGTATTGCTTGGTAATGCATGTTAGAAAGTCAGAACTGGTGATAGATTGTGGGGTGCTGCTGAGCGAGGAGTATTGCAAAAAGATATAAAATGCACCCTCCTTGATTGAAACATAAATCTTTTTGCTTTACTACTGTTTGAACCTTGGCAAGACCACAGACGTCTGCAACATTTGTGTGTCCGCCCTTACAGCTTCATATCGTTTCTACTCTATCGCTTTCGCCTGTGCTGAGATTCATGCAGGTTGAAGAGGCGACGAAGAACATGGCGGAGAACCGCTCCTTTTGGGCGGCGAAGGAAGAAGAGCAGGCTGACCACCAGATGTAGGAAATCACATGAAAACCTTCGAAACAAACGTAACAAATTCATACAAATCCAGTAGAAATCCAAGCAACAAAGAGAACCCGGAGATTTTTGCGAAGAGGTACACTACTCCGATCTCTTCAAGGAGAACGTGGCAGTTTTGACCTGATCTAATCGAATTCAATCTCAATATATCTCAATGTACATATGAAATGGCCGGCTGCGACATGGGAGTTTGCAAAGATGAACTGCCGTAGCCAGCTGTGCTTCACAAAAGCTTGACCTCTCGAGCTAGCACAGAAACTATCAAATCAGCACAGAAAGTGCAGATACTGCAACGATAATGTACCGATAATGTAAGTGTATCATAGTGTATCTGAAGAATTCTGAAGATTTCAGAAAAGCTGACCGCACCTTTCGCATTGCTTTGCCGGAACAAAATGGAGCGCCGCAAGACTGAAGTGTGAATGCGAATAATGTCGATGATGATCCTGCGTAAGGACAATCAACTGGCCTCAATGCCAGAGCAAGCTTCTTTGAGCAGACTGATTCTTGTATGGGTATTACTGTATTTCTGTCATTTAGATTCATTTGGAAAACATTCAAAAACTGTTTTTCATCGGTCAAATTATATAATGCATGCCAAAATGACAATTCAAGTTATTCTCACCCTGCCAAATCCTGAAAGTCGCTTTGGCTTTGAACATACTGGAAACTAATGAAACCGAATGCGGTCGTGTCAGTTCGTATAGCCTTTCCTTGTCCTTTCGTTGTTTCCACTGCTGGATGTGTGGCAAAGTATGTGAACTTGAGGTGTGCCATGGTGTGCCTCATGTCAGGAGATCTTCACACCTCACCCAAGCCGTGAGGTAACTCGTTGGCGTTGAATCTCCCTGGAGTTCTGGGGCCTTCCATTGCGATCATTGCGCAGGTTGGTTTGCCACCCTTCACTTCGCCTGCCGCTCCCTGTGAGACTAGATATGGCGAGGCTGGATGCACTTGCTGTGCATTATGGTATATACCAGTAGATGTGCATAGCGTGTGCATGTGTGTGCTCTCTCATTCACTTGTCAAGAGGCAAGTCGTGTGGCAACCAAAATCAAGACTATCCAATGTCTTTGCCCATCCACTGCGAGCAGGCACAAGATGCTGAAGATACGGGATTTTCTTGTCCAGTTTGCTTGGAAAAGGCAGGTTGCTGGCATCGAAGTTTTGCTGCCGTTTGATGTGCTTGAAGGACATTGCAATACATGAATGACCGTTCTCATTTACGGCCCTGTGCATGTCGTCAGTCTTGTTGGAGAGTCTGAATTTGTGCTTCCTCAGAGATCCAGACATTCTGGAAAGGTACAGTAGCCACTAGGAAGAATAGACTGACACAGCTGGCCAGCATTCTTGGCCTCAACATCAGAACATGCAACCATTCATTTGAATTCATTTGAAACATTCTTTTGAAACATGAGCTTTGAATTCATCTTAGCTTCGATAGCTTCGTGTCTAGCGGAGGTCAAAATGGATGGATCCATTCAACTTGACTGCGATCATCGCTTTTGCCAGGTCCCCAAGAGGTGCGACATAGATCTGATGACCTGATCAGGATTTGGCAAACTAAACAGCCTTTCCTTTGAATAGATTATGTAATATAATCCAATATCATATAAATATAATTAAATCTCTATATATATAATATTACAATGCACTTTGCTGAAGCAACCCCCAAACCAGCAATATTCTTCACAGACATTTCATCTCACCTTGTGCAGCCAAGGTGCGAATTGTTTTTCAAGCTATGTGTCTGGAAAGATCATGGACGGCCAGGCAAGCCGTGGCTGATTTGAGAAGATTGAGAAGCCCATGCAGTTTGGCTGGCAAATACACCATGAGAGTTTGGCTTTGGCATTCCCCGAGCCAGATGGAACGGATGGAACCCTGTAAGTATGTAAAACTTGACAATAATTCGCAACCATCCTGGTTGCATTGTCAATCTGCACTCTTTCTAGTGCCAGATGTAAAAGCACCGTGGAAGTATCGATTTGGCGCAGGTTGCGGCCGATGAGCTAGTTTGTCCACTGCCGGACTGCAAAACGGAGATCACTGTGGTAGTAAGCCCAGTGGGATGCACGCACAAAATCTACTGCTTTGTGCCGTAGTCGTATCTTCCACATGATGGATGTAGAAAAGGATGGAAAGGGAGGTGCAAAGGAGAAGGGCAAATTGCGGCTCAGCTGATCTCAGCTGTAGAGTAGAGGGTTTGAACTGGTGGTCTCTTGATATCTCTTGATTCTTGGTGTGAGATGAGTCAATGAGTGGCTCATTTAGGCATCCCGTGTGGGCAGCATAGTGGTCGCTGATCGCTAAGGCTCAGGTAGAAGGCGCTGCATCTTCTCCGGTTTGGGAGAAATTCCTGCAGGCGCTCGCATAGCGGCACTGGTATTTGGTTGTCCTTGGAAGTCCCTTGTCATTTGACGCAAAAAGTCCACACCTGGAAAGGGACAAAACAAAGCAGATACGAAGCAGCATTCAGCAAGAGTAGCTACTGTACAGAGATTCTTGACCTTATGCACGCCAGTCTAGTTTGCAGACTGGATGTTTTAGAGACATGAGGAAATTGCTTACAAGGAACCCAGAAAGTGCCGATTCATGACATGAGACTTTGGCCTTGCATGGCTCAGTTTCGCATGGATCTTTGGGAATGCCGAGCAGACGGTCGAGTCATTGAGTGTCCCACACAGAAGGCGAGTGCATGGGACTTGAACCAACACCAAAGTCTAAGCCTCCGGTTGAAAGATCGAAACATGTGCTTTCCAACTGAAAGTGCCTGCATGCCGCATCAGCTCAAACGAACCTGGAGCAGTGTACATTGTACAGTCATTCACGTTGCTGTTGCAGTCTCACTTGTGCCTTCATGTATTTATATTAAATATTGCCTGCTTGCTTGAGACTTGAGATTGCCCCCCACAGCTATCCACAGCTATATACGCCTGAAACATCTCATGTTTGGACCTCCCCCCGGGAGAAAAGAGGATGTACAGTCAGGGCATTAAGTCGCATCAATTTTGTTGTTTTCAGTCAGTTAGTTGGGGTGTAGCTTCCCGGGGGGGTCGCATCAATTTTCGTTGTGCCATGCAAAAGTGAGTATAGAAATCATTCTAAATATCATTCATTTGTTGTATTTTTTCTGCTTATTCCTTGCGGAACCTGTTGTCATGAATTGTAAAGAAAGTTTGTGCTTCTTATTCAGACTGGTAGAAACAGGTCGGTTTACAGTTGGGTCTTTTGGCATTCATGGCCCATGGCATACGTGGCCTCCTCCCCCCATCACCCACCCCCTGAGATGTTCTCTATTGGCAATGCCTTGAATCACAAGTTGTTTATTCCACATGCGCAAAGCATATCCCGAAACATACTGCGAACCATGCCCCGTAAATCATGCTCCCCTGTTGGTGGAGATGCTCGCTGCTGGTCTGGTAGATTGCCATTGAACTGCTGCAAGGCTGTTTCCACACTGCTGCCAGACTGCTGCTAAACTGCTGCTATAGGTTGCAACTAGACTTCATGCTCTGCGATCACTTAATGCTCCGGGTGTTATATGTATATGCCTGAGAGATCCCCGTGGCAATTTCCACTCTATAACTGGTGAACCTGTGCATAGTTTAAACGAAATTCTTAATGTATTGGAATTTTAAAATTAATGTCAGGCTAGTCATTTTATTGTTGGGGGGTTGGGCTAAGCATTTTATTGTAAAGATAAATCCTGATGATTTTTAACATGTTAAAATTCCATTCTCATTTTATTGCAAAAAAATGTTTGCTTGGAGCATTTTATTGCAGAATGGAACCAATGCTTTTCCAGGATCTTTTTATATCGATTTTATTGGGCATGTCATTTTAGATCAGCGAATTTTAAGGAATTTGAAGGAATTCTAAGGAATTTTCAGGAACATTAAGGAATTTTAAAGGAATTATAAGGAATATTAAGGAATTTTAAATGAATTATAAGGAAATTTAAGGAATTTAGAGAGTTTTAAGGATTTTTAAGGAATCTTAGAGGAATTAATTGAATTTAAAGGAATTTGACGGAATTTGAAGGAATTTGGAGGATTTTTAAGGATCTTTAATGTTTTTAATTTTTAAAGGATATTTAAGGAATTAAAAGGATTTTTAAGGAATTTTAAGGAATTTAAAGGATGTTTAAGGAATTTTAAGGAATTGCCACGAAAGAATGCCACCGTATTTTGTTGCTATAAAATGCTATAAAAAAAGAAAAACACTTAATATTTGGGCACCTTCACTCTAAAATACCCCTATCTAAAATGGATTTCCTGACCTCTTTTTAAAGATGCGTTTCTGAGGGTCTTCAAAATTGGATGAAATTGGATGATGTTGGATGCACATTCAAGCATGAATTTGGTGGCAAGGCATTTTATTGCAGAGCCAGTTTTCATTGTTTTTGTGCATTTTAAAGCCTGAGGCCTATGCACAAAAGTTAGACCGCTCTAAAACTCCTGCACAGCTTCACATAATGAATTGGCACCCCGATCCTGAGAGTACGTATCTGGGCATCAGTCACCTATCTAGCTCCTATTTGAGGGTCGTTTCAGGGGTCGTTTTGGGGTCGTTTTGAGGGTCATAATATTAACACGCCGCCAGCCAAACCTTCTGAAGGTATCAAACAAGACAGAATCCAGCAAACAAAGCAGCAACATGGCAGTCCAACACCCAACACGCACGAAAATCAAGAGGGTTCCATACATTGTCTATGCGCGATACCTTCATGCGACAAGACTTGGTGAAGGTATCAAAGACAAAAGACAAAACTATACGAAAATCAGTAAACACAGCAGCAACATAGAGGTCGCCACGCCCTCTATCCAGAACCGCCAAAATCGAGATCGGGCGATACACGATGATACACGCCATTTCTATGTGCGATACCTTCACGCCACAAGAACGGATCAATACAGCCAATGCTGGTTCTTCATGGGCCGAGGCAAAAAATGCACACAAAACTCAATAGGCACATAGGCAACATTCGGCAACATAGCAGTCTAACACATGCTATGTATCCATGCATCCAGATGCGCCCAAAGGAACACCACTCGATATTTACGATCTAGCAAAAGTATATGTACTAGTAAATAACAAACCAAGGTGTATCCCGCAAAACTACCAGCAAAATAGGAGAAGAGAAAGTAGCATGAACTGTTCCAACAAATTTTCTCTTCTGGTCTCCATTTATCTGTTTTCCCCCCTCCCTTCCGTTTCCAGATCCGAAGGTGCATATGCTCCCGCCTTTCTAGACTACTTTTCGTTCCCTTCCCTTTGGCCTCAAGATGCCTCAAGTATTTTTTGAAAGTTTGGTGTCTCTTCCGCAGATACTGTAGATATATGTGCAGATTTTCAGCTCTCCAGACTCGGCCGCAGTGTGGCAAATTCTTGGTGGAGCTGAACGTGGACATCGCAACATGCCCGCGATGTGGGCAGGACAGCATCGAAATAGGAAGAACTGAGATAGGTTCACATGGTGCATTTGCCCAGGGATTGCTATCATCTCTTGGGCAGGGGGTTGATCTCCATGTCAGCAACTTAATCAGCAGGAACAGTATCATTTTGCATTAATTATCATCAATTTGCAAGGTGGCGAAGAGGCGAGCAATCAAAGAAGCACATTTTGCCTTATAGAGATTTGGCTCCGACCCTCCGTTGCCTCCATCGGACTTGTCGGTCTTGAATGGGAGGAATTTTGCGGTCGCTGCGGAGATCAGAAACATGAAGGCATATCCTGTGACTCTCTCAAGGCACGTTAGGGCAGTTGGTCTTGAAGATCTCACCCCATTCGGGAACACTACCCCGGTTACTCCTCAATGATCTGTCATTGATGACCCAGTTTCTTTTAACCGCCCAGATTCTGTTGGCCATGGGGTTGTTCCCCTTGTCAAGTATAAAATACAAACAGGATCAAACAGATTCTGTCCACTCCGCAGATGCAGGCCTGGCGTCAGCAAAATGATGCGGAAGAGAGCTTCGAGGCATCGTTTTCACTTAATTTTGTATGTTGGCTGAAAGATCCTTGAAACCAATGTTAGTTGGAGTGAGCATCCGCTACTGTACTCACCCAAGACTCACCCCTGTGTCATGCTTTTCCCCTCATTTGCTTATCGCTTCTCAACTGTTTTTGATGGGTTTTGACTTTCTTCCACTTCCATGAGCAAAACATTGAGGAAGACTTACCATGGACGAACCCCAACATTTGATAGATGAAATATGATGAAATAGTTTGGACATGATTTGAATCTTTGGTATTTGGTTTGGACTTTTGCTGTTGGGCCTGTGGAAACCTCTGAAAGCTGTGGTGTACGAGGAGCTCATGGAGCAACAGCAGTGGAGACGGTGCCCTAGGCCACCCATGGCCACCCTGTAAGATCCACGTAAGACAATTACTCTTGCAACATTTGGCGGCTAGCTGATGATATTGGAAACATTTTGAAGCATTTTGAAGCAATAGGTCTCTGTGCACTCAGATGCTGTGGGCCCTTTCTGCCGACACTGATCTTGCAGAATGTAGAACATGCCACCTGATCAAGATTTCCAATATTTCCATTGGCATCGTTCGCCTATTTCCACTAATATGGAATGAACTCCTACTTGGAACGTTCAGAAGCTGGTCCAGGTGCAGAGCTCCCTCTGAACGGGAATCTGGGTGCAACTTTATGCAGTGCAGGCAGAAGCTTTTTAAAATAGTTTTGGATGGTTTTGGCTTGTTCAAAAGGGACCATTTGCATTTTCTGAGTATTTAAATAGACCTGCAAGAATCTCTGGGAAGTATCGCTCTGCCACCAAGTGGCATCCAATCATTGTGATTTGTTGGAGACACTGACATTGCATGCACGGAGGGCTTGGATTTTCTAAGCGGTTGCGATCATGAATCTGTTTGTAAATGAAGTTGAATGATTTGATTTATTTACTTTAATCACAGAAGTTGGGAAAAGTGCAAAGGATGATCAAGTGAATCAGGTCCAGCATCTGCCGGAAACGGACCTATTGGTGCTATGTTTGCGGCGGCTGCCTCAGCCGGCAGGATTTGCCCAAATGTGGCTTAGACACGTCCAAAGATGAAAGGGCAACATAGACCAAACCTCCGAGTGGAAACAACATAAAACAACACTGGAAGCAGAGGATTCTCGAATTGGACCTTGACATCCAGTCCATAGCCAAGGCAAGGAGCTCTCAAAGGAAGAGCACTATGCGCATTTTCCAAGGCCCTAGCACATGCCATACACATCCATACACCAAAACTGGCTGGAGTTGTGTGCAGAAGAGTGAGTAATGTTTGATGTTGTGATAAGAACACAATATTTTTCTACTTGCAGTGCTCCATTCTTTCAGACAGACTGTATGCCATTTGACTCATGCATCACCCGCTGCCTTTGGCCTTCAAGCTTGGTCTAGTGGAGAGTCGTGTGGCCTTGGGTGCCTTGGAAGGGGTAAGCTTTGAGTCTTCAGCGTGGCAATGAAGACGTCAAACTGTTGGTGCAGATTGCTGAGTTTCTGAGGTGTTGCTGCTGTTTGACATTTCTATGAATTATTGTGTAAAGAGACATCAAATGTTGAGATCTGCAGGTGTACAATGGCAGTATGTGTGAAAGGGAATAATGTGTCGGGTCCTTGGCATAGCAAAGTGAGTCCTTTCGTTTTCGTTGTATTTATGAAAAGTTGCAGTCTTGGTCCAAGTCAAGGTATGCATCATCCTTTGCCCTACTGATGAGCCAACCTGACTTGATTCAACGAGGGCTCAACTTGGGAGTTTCATTGCTTACATTGTGCGTTTGCGGCCAGGTGTAGTTGCTTGGTGCCTGGGAATTGCAGCCTTTGGTAAAGTTGCAGAGGCCAGGAGAATGGGCGCAGCAGTGCGGCTTGAGTGGTGAGCTGAACATAGATACTGTAAATCTCCTAGAGATACCTGCTTACCTTTGCTTGCCATCACTATGAGCTGTTTCCACAACTGCTTCTGTATGGCTTAACATTTTCCAGACGTCACAATATTGCCCATGATAAGTTGACTCGACGTAGCATTGGCAACAGCCAGGAAACCGACCAACCGTGCATACTGCATAATCCTGCACAATCAGTGTTTTCTTTTTGAGAGTAAACTTAAAATAACTTAAATATGACTTAAATTGACTTGCAGTCTGTCATAGTCTGTCTTCTTCTTGTGAGATTTGTGAGTCCTTTGATGTGGATGTCTCCTGGATGTCCTTTTCCGATTTTCTTTTGCCTCGCGGTACGAGGCCTTTGGGTCAATGGGCTCCGGGACGATCCTACGAGATTCGGCCTTCCGAGCTGCCCTGGCACTCAGATCTGATTGCTTCAGAGTAAATTCCAGTGGAAATCACAAGAAAATCAAGAACACATTGGACTGGAGGAAATCACAGCAAAGTAATTTGTTCTTGAAACATGTTGAAACATGTTGAAACAAGATGCGCAGTGTTTGAACGATTATTTTTCACGGCATTGGCAAGGCTTTCTTTGCATGGCCATTTGAGACTTTGGTTTGTCTATGTTGGTGCACCAAGGTCATTCACCTGAGCCTCAGTATGATCTTGAACATTGTCTCGTTCATGGCCATTTGTTGCTGCCTCAGCTGGACGGCAGACACCACGCGAGTTGTACAGGCAAAGACTTGATGAGTCTTCTATGTACACATTGCTATTATTTGTGACAGGAAAGTCAGTTCTACTAGCCGAGACTGAAGTATGTATTGATCACATAGGTGACATGAAGATCACGAACTTCTATTCTAAAGTAAAGAGCTGCACTTAAAGTAACTCAAAGTTATGAGAGCTGTGTGGCAGCCAATGCGCTGAAGATCTGAATGGCTGAATGGATTCCCTGCAAAGGTTGTTCGACATTCCACTTCGAGCAGGCTATGAAGTTCGATGTAGTTCACAGCCTGACTTCATCGACAGCCTTTTGCGTTTTGCGCATTGCGGCTTTCACCACCTTTCTTGTGCGCCGGGAAGGCTGAGTCTTTGGCTGCGTGCTGGTTCAAAAGCCGTTTGTTATACAGAATGTATCAGAATGTAATATATTGTTAGTATTACATTACCATCATTAAGTACAAGGGACATGGGAAGCGCTCCAACGCGTGAGAGAGGTACAACTGGCGTGCTCGTCTTTGATGTTGGTGGGAATGTCGTCCGTGTTGACATTGGACTTCATTTGCCATATGGTGTATGCCTCAGTATGTGCACTACTAGTACCAGCTCACAACAGTCAGGAGTTCTTTTTTTCGCACGGTAGGATTGGCGTGCTTTCAGTATGATGCTAGATGTGCAGGCAATATTTATTGTTTACAGTTTCAGCATAGTCACCCGCCATACCCATCACGTGTAACTCATACCTTATCAGATCTTTTCGTGGGGTTGACAAAAATGGATGAAGACTGACAAGTCATAGTTTGAGCCAAAACACAAAAACTCACGGGCCATCAGTGGAATCAGGCCCTACCACACGAGCCTGTAACACTGAAGGATAGCTTGTTGTCAGAAGGGGCTGTCAATCAACACGAAGTATGCAGATACAGATACACCATGATACACCTAATTACCTATATAGAAGGACAAGTCGGACACATTTGGCAGGACAGATAAAGCAAACATATGCAAAAATATGAGAAGATTTGTTTGCCAAACCTCAAACCCTCCAATGGCATTTGCATGTAGCCAAGGGCAGCACTGTACAATTCCACGCTCAAGAAGTGATTTGGGAGATTGGCAACTTTACCCTAACAGGCGGCCCGGGGCTGTGGCTTTGAATGTGTTGCTGGATGTGTTGCAGGCTTTCCAGTTTCATCAAATGTGCTGGAAGAGCAGCAAAGCGCAGGGAAATCAGGGAAGGTGCTAGAAAGATTGCCATTCTTTCAATATTTACGATCTCCTGACCATCTAGCAGATCAATTTCGTTCAGCCGCGTAATATTATAATATATTATATAATATTATATATTGCTTTCATTTGCTTTCCATTTAGCTCATGATGATTGAAACTCTGTGGACCTCTGTGGACCTTCCACCACTGATCCAACCACAGTGGGCCAGGTCGCGACCCATTTGATCCTTACCATACTGGCAATCTGGGTGAAACCAAAGCTGCGGACACCAGATTTGTGAGTGCAGCGGACCCAGCATCTCAGATCATCTCAGGGATGAAGCTGGGTTTTGCAACAGGACCTCAACGCCCGATGTGCTGCAATTTGCACTTCATCATTTCATTGTAACATATTGTACCGTATTGTAACACCAGAATCCAGGCTATCCACTGTATCCATACTGTATCCATATCTTTATTGTCTCTTTGTTCGAATCGCAAATCGCCGGGGAAGTCATCGTTTTGCCTATGAACGGCGACAGGTGGCATCGATGATGCAGCACCTGAGTCTCGAGAGATTCTGCCCATACTCGGAGGAAGCAGCCTGGTGGGGTTCAAACCAATTCAAGTGCCTTGTTTCCAAAGAAAACTTGCATTTCTTTGCGGGTTTTGAAACATGCTTCTGGCAAGCATTTTGACTTCGGCGATTTGCCTTCTTGATGTCATGATTTTTGAAATGGAGGGCTCAATCCCACCAACCATGTGCTCGGCACTCTCCTTCATCACTTTCTACTAGATATCACAAGATGTCACAACTGTATTCCCCCTGCGCTTGCTTGCGAATGTTTTTTCCCTGAGCTCAGCGAAAATTGAAGAGAAGCTTCGTTTGACGTAACGAAAATACGAGAGCATGCTTGATGCTGCACGCAGAGTGTAGGGTAATCGGAAATAATGCGTTCAAGATGAACATCTCCGTTTAAATCCCTTGAATTGTGTTGCAAAACGAAAACCCATGGGCGAAATCGACTGAAACTGCACATTGGCATGAACTTGTGTGGGTATGCGTGAGTGGGTATATAATGAAAATACGCATCATGTATGTTTGCAGTCAGGGGTATTGTACATCACACAGATAACATTGGTTGAATGATGACACCTGAAATATGCATAAATATGCAATATTGCAATATTTTCTATACACGCGGTAAATACATGATGAAAAAGACCTAGGCACGTATGCGTATGGATGTTGTAGATTCTCGCTTAGTTTAATTTCCAACCTGGTTTTGTTGTAGAGCTATTGCCATTGTGCCGACTGCGCTCACCAGAACGTTGGAGCGCAACTCTTCATCTTTTGGAGCAGCGGCATCGCGTCACTAGCACCTGTCCCAGATGAAGAAGGTTCCAGGCGAATGGTGAGTTGCAAGCTTGGTCTTGTAGTTCTCGATGATGCTTATATATTGGCTTCTATTGCGTACTTCACTATCGGTTCCGCTTGCTTCCCCTTTGAAGCCTGTAGAAAGAGGATAGCAGAGCATCTCAAGGTGTTCCGAAACACTTGAGGTCCACACACATTTTACGATATTTTACGACTCCAGAGTCGCAGGCGAAAACATGTCCAAACAGCAAATTCAGGCATTTTTCCTGTGAAACAAAATCAGAACTTGTTGGGCCTTCTTTTGTTGGGACCTTGGGACTTCTTCATGACCTTTTTGAACTTTCACCCATCACCCGAGGTGAGCCAAGCACTGATGGCGATTGCCCTGAACGGTGAAAAGGAGCGAATCAGCGTCCACGAAGAGCATGTGTGGTAGCCCAATTCTCGACAGTTCAGATCTGTTATGATCTGCACCCGACCTCACCAGAGAAGAGGTGGATATCTGCATTTTTGGAAAGTCTCTTGGAATATTTGGAATTGGAATAATTGGACAATAGATCCGATAGAGAGGCTATCTCACAAACAATATCCGCATATCCTGATCAGCAACCAAATTGCCCAGACTGCAAGCCATATCCTGCAGCTTTCACCTAATTTGGCCGTCAGTGTTCTTTTGAGTGGGTTCAATTCTTCCGTGGGTCCAGAAGGCAAGATTTAAAACACATTTTGCTCAATTGGCCCAGCACCAAGGAGGAGGCAAGTTTTGAGCTCAGTGTTCAAATTGCGACAAGAGGTGTCATAACTTGCTCTGCTCTCTGGATGTAACGCACTTCAAGGGTGCAGTACCTTTGAGACCTCGATTTTTAGTTGGATCAATGAATGTTTATCAACCTCACAGCACAGGGATAATCAGGTCTTAGCACAGACCAGCTGCACTCTGTGAGTTTGTTGTGTTGCCAAGGAGGTGTGGCTGGGATGGTCTGAGACTTGGGGGCGTCAATGCCACGTGAGCAACCATAAGAATCGGTATTGATATTGAATGACATTGAAGGATACTGAATGATATTGATTCAAACTATAGCTGATGGTTGTTGAATTCTTGCGGATCAAATATGGCCAAATCTGATATCTTGGGAGCGACTATCGGCACATGCGCAGGGAGAAATATTAGACAGTGCTTTCAACATCTGACGTTTCGAGATTCAGATCATGAGGTCCAAGCTGCAACGCAACTATCTCCGCTTAAATTTAAAGACACCGGGTTTGGATTGCACATGAAACATGACCCGATTTAGCAAGACCACCCGCAACCAATGTATAATCAGTACACGTGAAACAACAACCGAAAGCTTGACAATTCTGAGTCATGACTATGCTTTGTTTTGCCTAGCCCTTGCGCAGCACTTCAGCAACGCAGCTCCGCACATGAAATCCTCCGAATGTCTAACACATCCAGAATCCATGTTGTACTGGTAGACATTGCCAGCACAAAGGAACGCATCATTTCTTTCTGGGAAAATAATGGAGAGCCTCCTTCCATTGCATTGGTACGAGGCACATGAAAGGCACTAAGTCACTAAGATTGTTTGATTTATTTTGATTTATTTTGATTTGATGTTCATTTGATGTTCATTTGATGTTCATTTGATGTTCAAACAATTTCAAACACATGACTTGGCTCCAAGGTTCCGCTCGTCCAGAGCGCCGTCCACAGCGCCGTTTCCTCGCCCAGATGAGCTCTGACGGAGATTCACCCTCAGGAAATTGATCTCGCTTCATGATAGCTCCAGTAGATGGGTCAAAAATGTCAAAAGCACTCAAACATATTCAAAAGCACGATGCGATAAAGACCGAACCCATCTGAACCCTACTGAAGTTCACAAGATGATTCAGAACTCAAAACGGGGCCAGACAACTGATACTGTATCAACTGATCAAAAGTCAAATGTTTGTTGCTTCCAAAGAGGAGCGTAGCTAGGCAATGGCTTTGTGCTGCCAAAGTTGCAGCTTAAGAAGCGGATTTCCAAACAGCGGGGGAGGGCAGTGTGCAGTGCCTTTTTTTGCAGGTAACTTCACATAACCAGTAGAGAGCGTCTTGCCTTATTGCGTTAGTTAGCCATTGAATGAATACACTGGGTATTCTTTGATTGGGAAGTGCTATTCCTCCTAAGATCTAAGGCTGTTTGCGACTGTTCCAAGAAAGAGAACTATTTTTCTTGCCTGCATTTTTTGATTTCTTTGCGCCAGCTCAAAGTTCCATCCAGTGAGAATTCTATCCACAGGATCTACATATGATGCGAACATCAGCATCATCGCGTCATCCTTACCTTTTGTTTCCCCTCATTCAATCACTGAAGTGGGCGACAATGCAGCAGCAGCGACAGTGCAGGGGTCCTTACGAAGACGAGTGCTGCGAAACGGATCAGGTGTTGAGCTTAAGGAGCATCAGTTCGTTTGTTCGTCGAAGCCGCATTATGATTTCGAACCGGCAGGTTGCGAGTACAGCAGCAGTTCGAAGACTCATTGTGTGCAGTGAAGTCCAGCTGGACCAGTTAATCATAGTTATATAATCCATTTGTGGCAAGAAGTTATAAGATGTTATAAGATGTTATAAGAAGTTAACTTGATGGAAGCAACCTGAATTGTGAGAGGAAATGGAGGTCCCAGACCACTTTTCGATCAGAATGCAATCTCTACGGACGACTTTTGTTTCTAGATGGGTAATCAGGACATAGAATCACTTTCAATTGGTTTGTGTGTTGAAAGAGCCGCTTTCAAACTCTGGTTCCAGTTGAAGGCCAGTTGCGGTGACATGCGGTGACAGCAGTTAATGTCTGAGCCATTGCCTGCCACAGTGGGCCAAGATTTGCTGAGATTTTCCGAGGCCCCGTTCGAATGTTTCAGGGATCCTGCAGATCCTTCAGCAGGTTTCGGAGGCCCTTTGAGAAGCCCTCCGCAAAGCCCTCCTTCACAAGGTGGTCCGAGCCTCAGAGGGGCATGCCGCGGAAATGTATGGAAAAATAGATGAACATAGCATCCTAATGTATCCTAATGTGTCAAGCGTGGAGAAAGAAATCAGCTTGATTGCTGTGATTCTGAACATGTCTGAAATTTCTTTTGGGTATTTGAGTGCTTTGTAAATTGTATGCCCTAGCAACATCCCCACCCACAGATTCCGGTGATTTCGGGATTCGTCCTTAGGTGCTGCTGCAGCAATGGAGGCTGCCGCAGAGGCTAGCTTTGCCAATCATTGATAGAAACTGGGGCACTTGAGAGGTCATGCCTCCCAGGATTGCATCAAAGGGATTCAAAGGGTGCCTCTATTCAGGTTGGAAGCGCGTTCCTCGGAGCCCTGCGAGGTCTTGTTTTGCCAGAAAGAGATGAAAAAGTCTCCAAGCTGCTGAGTCGAGGACAATTTCGTTCATTAATCCCTTCCCCCTAACGTCCCCCCCTAATAATAAACACTGCAAGTAGTTTTTAGTACTAGGGTGGTATTTATTATTAGGGAACCAAATCGAAGTCATGTTATTCATGCATTATAATATTTATAATGGAGGAAGGGATTAAAATCAATTAAATTTCTTTATATACCGCAATTAAAATATTGCCAAAAATGGGATTTCGAAGCTTCCCCCTAATACTAAATTAAAACCCTTAATAATAAACACTATTTTTTCCGATCTCAAAAGCAATTAAATTTATTTATATAACGCAATTAAAATATTGCAAAAAATGGGATTTCGAAGGTTCCCCATAATACTAAACACCCAAGGGGGGAAACCCACAAATGGTACGTTGATTTTTAAATTGTTTTCTAAAGGGGATCAATTAAAAATCAAATTGGCCAATCTGAAATTTTCAAAAATTGGAGATGGACACTAGTTTTTAGTATTAGGATGGGGTTTAGTAACAGGAAGAAGGGATTATTCTCTTCGGATAGGAACAAGAAGGTATGGACCTATTTTCTTCCTTTGTTTATTGCCATGTCCAACATTTTCTAGCACAGAATGGCAGTTGCCATAGTCTTCCGAAACACCAGATTTTGATCCTTTTCTGATGGGCATTGACGGGCAAGCTGAGTTGCCTGTTTGAGTTGCCTGTTTAAGTTACCTACTCAGCATTTGGTGCTCTTAGCGTATTTAGCGTGCAGCTCATCCTTTGGGAAGTCGCAGTAGGTGATCCACGGGAAATCTGTGGCGAATCAATGGCGAGTCCCAGTCAGCCTTCCATCAATGCAGATGTCGACATGCCATCAGCGGGCGGGGCAGGCCCTGCTGTCGATGGTCACAAGGTATCTTGGACACAGAGCTAAGCTGCTCAAAGACGAGACTCCACTGGATTTTGATATGATTTTGATGATTTGAATGATTTAGAACACTTTTTGATAGGATTTATGATATTTATGTGACGTTATTTTAGCATATTTTAGCTTTGGATTCGCTTTGGGTGTTGCCTAGATTTGTCATGCAAGTCTGGGTCTGGGTACCGCTGCTGTTGAAACAAGGCCTCGATGCGCCGCTTGAGTTCTAAAGCTCCGCCTCCGGCATCGTACATGGCAAGAGTGGAATGGACTGACGAGGACCATGGCCTGGCACTGAAGGGACACAATATCATACAATATCCCAATTATATAATATATTATATTGTCTAAAATAATCACAATCCTATGTAAAGTCTATGCTTATGAGTGCTGATTTCCACAGTTTGCTGGGGCCCATTGAATCATGTGGAGCTGAGGTCAGGTGCAGGACTTGTTTCGCCAAGAGTATGAAGCGCTTCACAGTGCAACTGTAAGGTCACACTGAGTAGGAAGGATATCGATTACTTGGTTGAGTTTCACAATTGCGAATTTCAAGACAGTGTTTCTTGCCAGAAACATGATGAACTAGATAGCAAGAGTGTGAACGAACATTCCAGAACAAAGCGCAATATTGTGAGCAAGCATCTCCCCGATAGAACCAATCGCCTATTAATACAACTTTCATGCATGCTTAAAATATCCATACTTTCGCACAGAGCCCATTCACAGGAACCATTCAATAAGATGACAATTTCAACACGGAATTGTCAGCAAGGATATGCAAGGATGCTGCCCCTGCCTCTGGCATGCTCCAACGCGTCATTTTCTTAGCACAGATGCCAGATCTACATTACAAGAGTCGATGCAAACAAACTACTATCCACACCCCGCAGCCCAGTGCATGGTCAGCACATTTTGCCACCCACATGCATGCTCGATCGACTCATATCATACAATAGATGAATATCTATTGTATCTTCAAATATTCATACATTACATATATATATATATATAAATGATAAATGTATTATATAATATGATATAATAGCTACACCAGCACTGTTTCAATAAAGTTCTTGTAAGAGCGCTTGTGAACCTCAGCAAACAACTTCTGCATAGGAAACCAAAGAGCGCGGGAAATTGCTAAGCAAACTCTCTCGCACGCTACCGGAAGCACCAAGAGCAGCCAGGCCAGGCTTGCCATGGGAAGAGGTGTGTTGAGACAGAGACATCAAGGAAAACAAAAACGAACAACATTAATATCATTAGTTATGTGCATTCACATATGTATTTACCCATGCATTGAGTTTGGCAGGCTTGGGTGTGCATGTATCATCTCTAAGTGAGCCAGTGAATGTTATCATTTTGGCTCCAGTGGAGTTGAACCAAAATAGCATTCATTGCTTTTCTTTCTAGGTCTGGTAAGGGGTGACCTTTCCAGACCTTGATCATTCCAGGGGTGACCTGGTGTTTAGCGAGGGGTGACCTCGCATGCTGCGCAAGCTACCGGGGATTGATATATCCCAGCTGCAACCGAGGCCAACATCCTCCACGCAGCTGCCTTTCTGGAGTTCAAGCATGTCTTGAGGCTGGAACGGGAGGGCTCGGACCTGGCTGCATACACATGCTGGATGCATGGTGTGGAAGTTAGGCACTCCCCCTACGTATTGGCCTCCAACACCGAATCTGAGTTGTTCCCCCTGTTGGTCAAGATGCCCTGCTGTGCGGGAGACTGTCAGCTCATCTTGGAGGGTTCAAATTCAAGTTCCCCTGCTGGTGGCTGTGGAGCAGCCGCGGAGTCATCCTGCCACCAGATGTGGCGCCGAGCGATGCTTGGGACTATTACTACAAGCATCAGGACAGGATGGATCTCCCCCTCATTGCGGCCTACACCAACCACACCACGGCCGCTGACCTGCATGGTACCTCAGGACATGTACGGGCTTCAGCTCCGATGTGCGGGTGACGCTGGACAAGTGGGCCTGGCGCAATTGGGAGCTTGGCGGCACCAGGGCTGGCTGGATAGCCAAAGCTCTGGCACCGCGCAGATGGGCACGAGCTGCATCCTGGCAAGAGGGGCGACCTCTTATGGCCGACCTGATGGCTGGCCCCAACGCCCGTCACCAAGGCGTTCATTAGCTGCGGATGGCAGTGCCTGACAGTCGACTGACCTCAGTCACGATCTGGCAGATGAGAAGCGCCAGGAGTTGTTGAGCCGCCAGCTGGAAGAGGTGATCTTCATTGCAGCGGCGATCGACTGTTCGACTAAGAGCCGAGCCCGTGAGATTCCACGGCGGTTCGAAGACGGCCGCCGGGCCCCAGGGCCTCTACGATCAGAGGCGTATCCTGATGGCCTGCCTAACTTGTCAACCCGCGAGGCAAAGCGGGTGGAGATTGACAACAAGGCCTGCGACTACGTGCTCAGGGAGACCCAGCAGCTGCGGGACAGAGGAGGAGGAGGCAGTGTCAGGGAGAACCCGGCCATGTCCCTCGATTGGTGGTCATCTACAGAAGTAACGATGTGGAACTCTCTTACGCAGCCTGCACACACTGGGGGGGAGCAAGCACCAGCTCCTTAGGCACAACATCATGACGAGATTAGCCAATGGCCAGTGGCCAACGGCCATCATGTGCATGACCCTCAGGAGTGGGTTCCGTACACCTGCAACGGACGCAGGATATACCTTCCAAGGAGGAAGCGGAGTATACAGCTGTTCTATGCTGCATGTTCTGGCATTCGCCATTGCCGGCTAGCTGGTGGGCGTGGGCCGTGGGCAGCAAGGCGTGGCTTAGCACAGCTTGCAGTCCGTCGCATGCCAGCGTTCATCTCTGTAGGCCGCAGAGAGCACTGGCTAGACATGGATCCCAAAGCGATGAGGGAATGGGCTATGGCTCCGGCTGACATCTGAGCTGCAGGCGAGCAGGCCGGGGTTACCGGTCAGGAAGCCTGTCACGGATGTCATGATCTCAGGACAATGTGCCGGACGGGGTGATTTACGTCGGGTGTCAGGACTTCAGCCATGTGGGACGCTTTGCTGGAGATGGCAGGTATGACGCTGGCGTGTGACTGCCCCTGCCATTGACCAGATGTGCGAAGAGAATCTGTTGATAGGGTTCGACAGCCAACCGCTGCAACGGGGCACCGATGGCAAGTGGGCAAGAACGGTGGTTTTGCTTCAAGGAACCCAAGCAATTCCGAAGCTCGCCCTGCCAGTGATGAGCCAAGAAGCGTTGGTGCTCGCCTTCTGCAAGCTCTTCCCAGCCTCGTGGTTCAGCAACTTCAAGTTCGCCATGGTGGAAGACCTCACCTCATTAATGGCCCCCCGTTCTGCACATACCCAGCATGGCTGGCCTGATCCCACAGAGGCATCAGGTGCAGTGAGGCAGCTAGCACGGATTGGGGAAGGGTGCCAAGGGCAGCTTTAGTGGCTTTAGTGCGATTGCCGCCCCTCAACTGATGCGCATTTTGGAAGAGCGCTGCAACGAGCCCAGCAACCCCTACCTCACGAAGACTTGCCAGTGACAGATTCAGACCTGAATATGTGGCCGGTGGCTACGCTACCTATATGGGCCCCCCTGCGGTGTGGAGGCAACGTGCTATTGGAGCACTCTGACCCTCCACTTGAGGACTCTTCAAGAAGCAGCAGTGCAGCAGGTGACAAAACAGCGGGACATCGACTTCATTGCAGTTAATCTTTTCATATTCACCTCATGGGCCGACACTGGTTTCCCATGGGATTTTCCCCCACAGCAGCCAGCACGTCGAATCGGGATGTCAGAAGTGCTGGAGGGATGGCAGAAGCATAACCAGCGCATCTTGAACCAGCTGAAGCCTGGCATCCAGACGCAGCAAATGATTTTTGCACTCCCCCTCTGCGGCGAGCAGAGTTTTTGGCCTACATCTGGACAAGAACACCGCCTCATTCCACGGTACGCCGAGGTCAGGCAAGCAACGAGTCATTGACAATGGAGACACAGGAGGTCAATCGGAGCGTTCTTCGGACGCCAACAAGCTTACCCTATGCAGCCCCATCAGACCAGCCCAGCATATCAGCTTGGTGATGCATCGATGGTCGGAAGATGAGATGAGATCAACGCATTTTGTCTTCAGGACGCCTGGGAGACAGGCCAGGAAGACCTACCATCAGACTACTGCTACTGTCCCATGTCCATGCAGGAAAGCCTGGGTTGCGTAGTAGTATGGGTCCATGATGAATGGCAAACCCCAGCGTACCAACTGTACTCAGGCCTACTTTTTGGCCTCCCGTTGGCGGTGACATCATTCAACAGATTCTCTAGGCTCGTGGAAGCTCTTGCCCAGCGACTTTGCAGAGTTTTGGTCTCCCTGTACTTTAACGACGCCACCATTACAGACCTCCGATCGTCTAAAGGATCGGGCCAATGGGCTGTCAACCAACTATGCACCCTGATCGGCTCCCCTTTTGCTGAAGACAAGAAACAACCCATGCAGAGCACCGGAACCTTTCTAGGTTTGACCCACGACCTGAGTGACATCAACAAGTCTGGCCATGTGAAACTTTGGGCCAGTTCGCGGCTTCACGACAAAGTCAGAGACATTATGTCAGCGGCGAGACAGACGGGAAAATTCACCCGTGGCACGGCATCGAAGTTGTATGGCATTGCCAACTTCTTGGAGTATCTATGGCCGAGTTGGCTATGGTGGACTCATGGCCGTCAAAGCCCGCCAAGACGAAGCCACAACAGTATTGACCCCAGAGCTTGAAGCTTGCTTCGAGGTGATCGAAGCTGTGATGCGCTTTGAGCCCAAACGCGAATTTCCAGTTTTTCCCTTGCAGCGACATCGATTTTTGGCAGCATCAGACGCTGCTGTCGAGGCTGATAATCCAGGTTCTGGTTGTTTCCACCTCATATTTTTCCAATCCGACGGATCTCAGCTCCGTCTCAGTTTTGTCGCAACCAATTGCGCAGAGCTTCAAGCCCTTTGGCAGCCAGCGGAAACCCACATTGCACAGCTCGAACTTTCAATGTTGTTGTACGCCTTGATCGAACGGCCTGACCTCTTTCGCAATCGTCAAGGCCTATGGTTCCTGGACAATGTGGCTGCCGTGATGACCTTAGTGAGAGGGCGCTCTAGCAATCCTGACTTAGCAAAGCTTGGCCATCTGATTCATCTAGCCTTGTTTATCTTGTTTGCCCTGCGTGCCCAGGGTTACTGGGAATACGTTCAGAGCAGGAGCACGACATTAGTAGATTAGGTTTCGATGATCCCTGGTGGCGCTGCCATGGATTTAGCTTTCATTCGTCGTACCTCCCTACAATCTTTTTCCATCTGCCGTTCGTCGCAGTCATCCTCACCTTTGAATTCCTCTAGTGTTTTGGGTGTAGTAGTGTGTTGGGTGATACCTGCAAGGCAGGTTCCGGCCTTGGGTGACCAGGAAGCTCTGACCAGATGGTGATACTGGTCTGGGGCTATGCGCATGTCACATAGTGACCGATCCAAAGCAAACCTGAGGATAGCAGGTGAAACCGACAGACTGTTGGCAGGGAAAGGAAAAAGATGCGAGTGAGACGAGAGTAGTACGAAGAATCATAATGTCACTTTGAGACGTATAATTCATATATATATATAGTAGATATACTATGATATCTACGATGTACTTATAGATATAGTTGGAAAAAACAACGATTGAAATTGACATTAAGGTCTCCGGCAGACATGATTCTTATCCCCCCATTTTCGGATGGTGTGATGGGCCACCATGGGTCGCTCATGGTCGCTCAGGTCCTCTTGGCTAATATTTTGCAGCGAGTACTGCGTAAAGAAAGGAGGAGCTTCAGGAGAAATTTTTGGAGAAGCTGGCAAAGCTTGGGCGACCCTTGAGGCTGCTGAAAAAGGGGTCTATGATGCGCAAGCTACAGCCGAGAAAGAGAAAAACAAAGCTGAGATGGATGAATTCAAGAAAAGCGACTCTTACAAAGGCCTGACGCAAGAAGTTGACAAATTTCTTCTAGTGAATCGGGTTCGAGGAAAGGGCAAAAAGGCAGAACTTTCTTGGAAGGAGTTCAAGGCACTGCGTGCCAAGAAGCAACCAAAGTTGGATGGTGCAAAAGGCAAAGCAGAATCTCGAGCAGAGGCCAACTGCATCAACCGGATTGCCTTGAAGCTTGCAGCAGCTGCACGCAAGACGTCGCCAGGAAGTGCATTGCCAATTCCACCCAAGTCAGCATACGCACTGTACTCCAGCGAAATCATGTCGAAAGACATGAAGGAGACCACCGAAAAGAAAACTGCCTCATACCTGAAGGATCTTTTGAAGAAAGTTGCTGAAGGTTGGGCCGGCCTAAGTGATGATCAGAAGTCAGGTTACAAAGAGACAGCGGCAAAAGACAGTGAGAGATATGCTGCTGAAATCAAAACTTTCAAAGACTCCGATGCGTATTGCAATTTTGTGCAGAAAGCAAGTGAGGTCTACAAAGAGAGCCAGGCGGATCAGAAACCAGGAGAAGCTCCGAAAAGCATCGCTCAAATCATCAAAGAAGCTGAAACCAAAGCCAGGGAGAAGGCCAAGCTGGAGAAGAAGCGTACGGTGTTGCAGATGAAGTTGGTGAGTTGTTTGAAAGGCCCTGGATTCCTCCAGATTCCTCTGGTAAATCACGAAATCCCGTTTCAACATGTTTCAACATGTTTGCTGCAAACCCTATGTTTGCAGATTTACCAATGAGCAATTCTCACTATCAGCGTGAAGTTCAGAGGGGGTAGCAGATTTACCTATATTATGATGAGCAAGTCTCATATAACTAGACTATGAATATGAAGTTCAAAGGGGGTGGTAGATTCATTGTCATGCAACATGTGATATGTTGATGCATCATACCACAGGGGCTCAAATTGTGGCGTGGGCGAACGTAGCGTTTGGCGCCAACATGTTTCAACATGTTTCAACATGTTTCAACCTCCTTTGACGTTGTAAAGAAAGGGTCTTTTCCAAAGAGTTAAAATATGTTCACCTCCGTTGATTTATGCTTTCAACCTTGCTGAAAGGTGGCGAAGGCGGTCCTCCAAAACCACCTGTTCAAGCATTCTTGCTCTTCTGCAATGAAAAGAGGGCAGATGCAATCAAGGAGCTGGCAACTGGTGCTGCAGGTGCTGATTCCGCGAAGAAAGAATCTGCCCCGAAGGAGAAAGAAGGGGATGAAGAGATGGAAGACCCGGAAGAACCGGAAGAGCCCGAAGATGAGGAAGACGAGGATGAGGAAGGCGGCAAAAAGAAAGGAAAAGGTGGCAAAGGTGGGAAAGGCGGTGGTATGGCTGCCAATGCCGCCATCATCAAGAAGCTTGGAGCGATGTGGGCAACCGCATCTGCAGAGGAAAAGGCAAAGTTTGAAGAACGAGTTGCAAAGGAGAAGGAGGCCAGAGTTGCTGAAATTTGTATGCTGAAACAGCCCACTGCCTTCACACTTGCGTGTTCTGTTTCTTCATGTGCTTTGTTGACAGTGAATGGAATGATGCGCTGCGCGACACTGTCTGACAGAATGCGTCTGAGTTTGACCGTTTGAGGCCTATGCAGCTGAGATGAAGGCTTGGTACGACTCTGAAGGTTTCAAGGCCTTCACCATGGAGGTGGACGAATGGGAAGCCGAGATCAAGGACAAAGGTGGCTTCCCCAAAGCCCCGCTGAAGAGCTTCCGTGCCTGGCGTCGGAAGAAGCTGCAGGGGAAACGACAACAGCAGAAGTTGGCGGACCGAGAGCGTGCGAAGGCAGAAAAGATGGCTGCAAAGATGAAGGCCAAAGGAGAAAAGTTAAAGCCGAAGAAGGGCAAGGCAGGAAGCGAAAAAGTCTTTATCGGTTGGACAGAAAAAGCATTTTATGGAAGCAGACATAAGCAGACTATTCACCCTAAAACTTGGGACCAAATGGAACTTCAACATGTTTTCCAACAGACTTCAACATGTCCCTCTTTGCTCCGACCGAAAAATCCATGCGAATTGTCAGGCCGGTGCAGAGGCACCTGAGGAACCAGTGGTTTTGCCACCCCTCTTGCAGAAGGATCCATTTTGGGACACCTGTTTGGATTCCCCAGAGGCCTGATTTGCTCCTTGAGATGTGTGGGAGTGAGATTGGGATGGTTTAGGATAATAGTCTAGGCCAAAAGCCATTAGATCCATTCGCTTTCGTGCCCGGTCCTGAGAGCACCAGAGCATCCTGGTGGAGGGGAGAATGTAGTGAAGCCAACAACACGAGGCTTCAGAATTGACATCTCAATATGGTTCACACTTCATGGATCGAGGTGCTGCTAAGCGAGATTCCAGCTGTAGCTGCAAGCCTTTGTAGTTCTTTGAACATGCCATCTATAACATTTGGCCACTGCCCATTTAAATCATTCGGCCAGGCGATTTTGGCATCAGCTGATGTCTTGCTTGGAGATCGCGTGGCTCTTGCAGCTGCCAAACATGGTGGTGCCTCGGTGAGGATCTCTGGATTCCGAATGCAGTTGTTGAAGGTTTGCTTGCGTCTCCTCAAATTTCTCAAACATCTGACACTTGATTGAACACTTTAAGAAACTGCGAGGATAGATAGAATAGAACGTTAAAGGATAGACTTCGAATTAGGTTTGCAATGTTTTGAACAGGTAATACACAGGTAAACCACGGGTAATCCACGGGTAATCCACAGGTTGCTCATTTTTCGATTCAAGACCTGGTGTATCTTGGTGTACAAGAAACTTTGCTCGGCGAGGTGCCAAAGGTCTGGCAGCACTGAAGTGGCTTCAGACGAAGCCGCACCAGGCGTCGTCTTTCTTCCGGACGGCATGTGCAGACTGCCAGGAGAAAACGAAACGCAACCGAACACAACGACATTCCACGGCCCAAGGCTGTACTTGTTTCAATTAAGAGTTAGAGTTAGAGAGCTTATTGGGAAGATTTGTGAAGTACTTGAAGCACCTGGTGAAGTAGCATGGCGTGGTGTGTTTAAAATTTAAAACATCCAACAGGCAAGAGCGGCTTGTTTTTCCTGGGCCCAGCAAGGCATGTTTATGCCAATATATGCCAATACATCAAAGCCGCCACTCTGTTCAATATTGTCCCTTTGCCAATCACAACACTTGCCGTATGTTTTCACCTCCCACTGTCACACCCAGCATTGCAGAGCCACGTCGTGCGATTCATGAGGAGACAGCCCTCCACTACGCTTTCCAACACGAGGACCTGGAGATGATCCAAATTCTGCAGAAGGAAGCGAGTCGTCACAATGGGCGGGACACTTGGGTCAGTGGAACCGTCAAGGATGGGATCATGACTTTTGAGCTGGTGACAGGTGCGCAGCTCTGGTTTTGGCCTCCGCGCCAAAATCAGATTGGCTACCGTGCTGGCCCTTCCGATCAAGATCCCTTTGTCCAAGGGAGCGACAACAAGACACGTTTCATCGTCCCAGGCGATGCTGTTTGGGTCCGAGAGTTGCGTGGATCATGGATTCGAACAGACATTGCTTGGGTGCCACTGGTGGTTGGTTCTGAGAAGAGCTTCGTTCGCGAAGACCCCTCCCTGTGGCGGGTGAGACCCAACTTGCCAAACCCAGAGCTGCAACCAGTCTCCACTGGCTTCGCGCGTGGTAGAGCCTTCAGAGCTAAGAAGCTGCGGAAACTTGGATCTCAAGTAGATCTTAGCAAAAGTTAGCCATAGATTAGAACATATGATTAGATAGTTGATGATAGTTGCACCAACAAAATCAAAATGGTTTTGCGGTTTTGCCTAAATTCTTCCGCACAGGGTTGCCCTTTAGATTTCAGAGTTGTGTAGAGTTCTTGCAGGAGGAGGTGTTTGTACCCGTTATTCTGCGCAAGAATTAATACCTATGGCGTTTCTTTTGGCTTTATGAATTCAGTTGCATAAATTGCACATCATTCCAAAACGGTTTTGGGCAGCAACAAAGTGCTCTGAAGAATCTGAGGAAAGTGAAGCTGAGCCGAGGCGGCGCAGAAGGAAACCAGGCTTTTGTAAAGGACATGGAGACAGAGGATAACTATGTCCAACCGAGGATGAGGCTCCTCATCTTCCCTATTCTTCGCTCGTTTTTGGGTTCTCTTGAACCTGAACACCAAACAGACAACTTCAACAGATAGATTAACAATGTTTGATTTTTTGTATCCTGTATATCATGTTTTGCACCCGGCTCTGTGGCTTGCCCGGGAGTCATCAAAGAGTTCCTGGAGTAAAGGGGCATGAATTTCTTGACATGGCCCTTCCCCCGCATGGGGTCCTTCAACGGAGGAATGTCTTGTTTGAAACCCACATAAACCATTCATAAACCCACAACCTAGACAAAGGCTTGACATCGCAATGCAGTGGTCAATTCGTCGTGGCATGGGCTTCAAGACCCTGGCAGCGTGCTGCGAGATCTTCCAGCAGAATCAGCCAAGCGATTTCCTCGGAGCTGCAGTGCAGTGTGGCTTGGCAATCCCAAGGAGTAAGGTCATTTAGATTCTAGGTTCATTTAGACATATTTAGACTAGACATATATTTGAAAGTCTTTGAGATGAGTTGAAATGTTCCTTGGTTCTGCTGAAACTCCTAAGTACACAAAATACGGCGCAGTTAACCCACCCGGATCTGATTTTGATAAAACTTGTCCAAGTGAATTGAGACCGCACTTGCAACAGCAGATGGTATGCCCAGCTTGGCACCTGTTTGAGCAGTGGCTTCAAGAAGAATGATTTTCATTTGTTTGGGATGTGAGTGGCTGAATAGTTTTGTCCTGAACTTTTCCATGTCTTTCCACTGTATTTCAGCGTCAGGTGGGCGCTGGCAGTTGGCGGGCGATTTGGTGACCCACATGGGAGTTGGTGATTTGTATGGCTTAAACCAACAGTCCCATGGCATTTGGTGGGTGTATACTTGTGATTTATTTGTGGAAACGGGTGCTATGAATATCTATACAATTGTATACTGTACATAAATAAATCGACATATATGTATACGTATAAACATAGCTCGCTTTGGCACGGCAATTTTTCATGGCTTTGGTAAGGTTTTATTTGCCCAATGGAAAAGGGTGAAGAAGGGTCGAAGTTTTGGAGATTTGACACAGATTTGTTGAATGGCTGCGGTTGTACAATGAGTTGGTGGCCTTGACATGAGGCATCGCACAGCTCTCCTACCTGTGCCAACGGAGGCTGAGTTGGCAGAATGTGTCAAGAGGAAAGCTTCGATCACAAAAAAGGCTGGAGTCTTTCGACAGAACAAACAATGGAAAGGAAAGAAGCTGATGTTTCTAATAATCTTTATGAATTGAGATGTTGTATGGGTAGTTATGAACCCAATTTGAGCCCCAGAAACCGGATCCCGGCGTCAAAGCAGAAAAGGTATGTCGGTACGTTATTGAACCATATTGAACCTTTTTGAAGGAAGTAAAAACATGCAAGCCAGCAAAACAGCAAACAAATGTCTCGCCAAACTGAAGCATTGACAGAGCAATTTGACTGCGCTGCGCACAATCGGATGAATTACGAAATATTTATGAGGCTTACGCCTGACAGCCGGGCGCCGGCCAAAGCAGACCCATGCGTCGGGTGTAATCCATGTCCATGTTCCGGTGTTGTTGTTGTTGTTGTTGTTGTTGTTGTTGTTGTTGTTGTTGTTGTTGTTGTTGTGGTTGTCGTTGTTGTTGTGGTTGTGGTTGTGGTTGTTGTTGTTGTTGTTCTTGTTGGTGTGCTTGTTGTTCTTGTTGTTGTTGTTGGTGTTGTTGTTGTTATTGTTGTTGTTGTTGTTGTTGTTGACCGATGTTGGCCCTATTTGGGCGCAGGTTTACCCCTGTCTTGGCCCGAAGTTGTTGTTGTTGTTGCTGTTGTTGTGGTTGTTGTTGTGGTTGTGGTTGTTGTTGTTGTTGTTGTTGTTGTTGTTGTTGTTGTTCTGGTTGTTGTTGTTATTGTCGTTGCCGCCCTGGTTGGTTGTGTTGTTGTCGTTGTTGTTGTTGTTGTTGTTGTTGTTGTTGTTGTTGTTGTTGTTGTATTGGGGCGCAGTTGTTGTTGTTGTTGTTGTTGTTGTTGTTGTTGTGGTTGTCGTTGTCATCCTTGTTTGTTGTTGTTGTCGTTGTTGTTGTTGTTGTTGTTCTTGTTGATGTTGGTGTTGATGTTGGTGTTGTTGTTGGTGTTGTTGTTGTTGTTGTTGTTGTTGTTGTTCTTGTAGTTGTTGTTGTTGTTGTTGTTGTTGTTGTTGTTGTTGTTGTTGTTGTTGTTGTTGTTGTTGTTGTTGTTGTTGTTGTTGTTGTTGTGGTTGTCGTTGTGGGCCGTGTTTTTTTGTTTTGTTGTTGTTGTTGTTGTTGATGTTGTTGTGGTGGTTGTTGTTGGTGTTGTTGTTGTTGTTGTTGGCCGATGTTGGCCCTATTTGAGCGCAGTTTTGCCCCTGTCTTGGCCCTAGGTTGGCCCATGTAGCCCACATCTTGGCATAATGTCGACCCAGGTAGCCCACATCTTGGCCGAGGTTGGCCCTATCGTGGCCTATGTAGTCCCTATCTTGGCCTTATGTCGGCCCATGTAGCCCACATCTTGGCCGATGTTGGCCCTATGTTGGCGCAGGCTTGCCCCTATCTTAGCCGTATGTTGACCCATCTAGCCCTTATGTCGGCCCATGTAGCCCACTTCTTGGCCGATGTTGGCCCTATGTTAACACCAAGGCCGTCAAGACGGCCAGTTGTCCGTTCCGGACCCCTGCCGCAGACCCAAAACCATGAAAAACCCATGGTTTTTTCACGTCGCCGAGGTGAAACCTGGAGACGGCGAAGGCCACAAAACCCTGTAAAAAACGATGTTTTTTGAACACCACACGCAAAATACACTGTAAATTACAGGTATAATCGTGGGTCGGGGGTGAGCCGGGCGTGGGGCGGAATCGGGCAGAGCCGGTCGGCGGCAGGGGCGGCCAGCGTATATAACCTTCGGTTACCACCGAAGGCCTTCGGCGAGGACACGGGCGCGGGGCCGGCGCCCGGATTTCTGAGGCTTACGCCTGACAGCCGGGCGCCGGCCAAAGCAGACCCATGCGTTGGGTGTAATCCATGTCCATGTTCTGGTGTTGTTGGTGTTGTCGTTGTCGTTGTCGTTGTCGTTGTCGTCGTCGTCGTCGTCGTTGTTGTTGTTGTGGTTGTTGTTGTTGTGGTTGTTGTTGTTGTTGTTGTTGTTGCCGTTGTTGTTGTTGTTGTTGTCGTGGTCGTCGTTGTGTTTTGTTGCTGTTTTTTTTTTTTTGTTGTTGTTGTTGTGGTTGTTGTTGTTGTTGGCCGATGTTGGCCCTATTTGGGCGCAGGTTTGCCCCTGTCTTGGCCCTAGGTCGTTGTTGTTGTTGTTGTGGTTGTTGTTGTTCTGGTTGTTGTTGTTGTTGTTGCTGTTGTTGTTGTTGTCGTGGTCGTCGTTGTCGTTGTTGTTGTTGTTGTTGTGGTTGTTGTTGTTGTTGTGGTTGTTGTTGTTGTTGTTCTTGTTGTCGTTGTTCTTGTTGTGGTTGCGGTTATCGTTGTCGTCCTTGTTGTTGTTGTTGTTGTTGTGGTTGTTGTTGTGCTTGTTGATGTTGGTGTTGATGTTGGTGTTGTTGTTGTTGTTGTCGTTGTTGTGGCTGTTGTTGTTGTTGTCG